AAATTTAAAAATTCAGTTTATTGATAGAGTTTACCGTTGAAAGCTTTTACCTCCAGAAGGTCTATCATCCCAAATTTTCAGTTTTATTTTTTAATTGCAATTTTAGTTTTCCATTACACTATTTTCCTTCCCACTTGTTTTTATTGCCAGCTACTGTAGCCTGAGGGACATCAGCTGCTATTATAAGCATCTCCACTAGGCACTTGCTTATTAACTTCCTCGTATATGATCCTAAGCTTGAGAATGCCTGTAGAAAGTGCAAATAGTAGGCTGTGCCTTTCACAGACCAGTACCTTTGCCTGTAGAGCTAGCCAGAGTGCGGGTCAGTCAAGGAGAGAGGTAACACCACCCCCTGGAAGCCCCAGAATCATTGGGATGCATTAGTATCTCCACCTCCCCACCTTACCCCAGTGCAGGGCCTGCCCAGCTGCCCAGTGAGGCCAGCTCTCCTTGGCCTTGCAGCGACCTTCCTTGAGTTCTGGGTCTAACAGCAACACCCCTGGGTAGGAAGTGCTCCTTGTCTGCTGGACTAGGACTGATGGGTGTCTGGGTTCTCCAGAAAGCTAGTTACAGCAGACAGCAGAAGAATGATGCTACACATCGCCAACATTTATTTTGGCTTTCAGTGTGCATGTGAATATTTGTTCCCAATTATTGGACCAGGGGCCTTGATCTTCCCTTTGATTAGGGGTCTGTTTGGTGTATCAGGTTGTGTCTGTTATAAGAACTTCATGGAAACGGCACCATGATGATTTCCAGATCTAGTTCCTTTAAAGTGGAGGGAGACATGTGAATCTGTGGGCAGAACTCCCTTAGGTGTTTTATGATCCTTCTCTCTCCACAACCACCTGGCTAGGACCTAACTTGGCAGTAGTCTCTACTTAGCCACTCTACCTTGCCCAATCTTTCCAAAACATTCTATTGAGTTTAATAGCAGGAGCAGGCTTTTTTTGTCTACATTCCTGTTCATCATGCACTGTAGGAGCAACTACAACCGGCCCTAACCTGTTGGGGAACACACTCCTGTGGCCCCAGGTGAGCATGGCACTCACCTGGAGCTAGTGGGGAGACTTGAGAAGCAGGGGGCTGCAGATGGGCAACATCACCCTAGGTTCTGGAGTGCAGAGGGCGCTCCAGCTCACCCAGGAGAGGTAGATTAAGAAAACTTGTCTCCAGGCCCCTGCCAGCCTGTCCTGCTTGCCACCCTTCACCCCATGGCAAACATTGGGGGTATGGGGGTGGAGGAGCCACCTAACATTTATGATACAGGCCTTCGTTGGAGCCACAAACCTGCCATCTGGGTCTGTGACTGAGAAATGATCACGACCGACCCTGGTGGGGTCAGGGGAGGGGAAGAAGACTCACAGTCTTGGGGGGCCCTCTGTGGTCAGCCAGGCCTTGAAGACCAGACCCCAGACCCACTGACCTCTTCACAGTCACCCTTGAACCCCAGACTCTGGGCTGTAATGATGGACATAAATTTCAGGGGCTCTGTTTTAAGTGGGCCTTGGGAAGCTGCCCTGGGTCAGGTAGCCCCAGTGTTGTAAGCCCTTACCCCATTGCCAGAAGCTCTTAGAAGGGCAGCAAACACCTAATTGGGGATTTTCTCTCCCCAGAGCAGACACAAAGCAGGGGCATCTCCCTTTTAGACACGTGAAGGCTCTAAAATGTGCACTCCTCTGTGGATGAGGGCTGGGAATAGTGACATTCACACCTGGTGTGCGACACCGCAGCTTGGCTAGCCAGGAACAGGGGTGTCACACGTATGAAACAAGACCACTACAGATGGCCCAAGGCCACCTGGGAAAGAAGGGATGGTTCTGAGCCTGCTTTCCATCCACCATGCCCTGACCTTGCACCTGAAGATAAGTGTGTAAATGGGAGGCAGTGGATCTGCAGCCTGGCTTGGGTGTGGGCAGGGCTGGACCAGCCTGGCAGGCTTTTCTATGTCCTGAAGAATGACTGGAAGGTTCCAGGTGAGAAGGGGAGATGTGCCCAGGAAGAAGGAACAAACCATGTTTGGTAGTGGGGGGAGGATTTGGGGCACTGGTTGCGTAGAGGGTAGGAAACTGGAAACTGGCTGGAATTCGGGGAGTAGAGGTCTCAGCATAAAAGCGTTTTCAGTGGGAGTGACTTCGTTTGTTAGGTTTAGAGATAGCTCTGCAGTAAATGCACACAGAATTCAAGAGAAAGAGGAGGGCTGAGATACATTCGCTGCTCCAGCAGGAAAAGGACGGGCCTGAATATAGGAGGCCATGCAGCCTGAAGCTACCCCTACATCTACCTCTTCAAGGCTTCTGGAACCCCTGCTGTGCCTCACCACCAGACTCAGCCCAGAGGACATGGAGTTGATAAAACACAGCCAGTCCCACATGGTCAGGGCCCAGGCAGGGAAAAGAACATGCCTTTGGAATTTCAGTGGTTAGTATGGGGAGCTTGTTATCCAGATGTGGAAAAGTCAAGAAACAAAGGGGTGCAGAGGTTGCACAGAGACAACCACAGAAACAGCTTAGAGTTGGGAGGACAGAGAGGGAGTGGGGAGGGAGCAGGACAACAGGAACCCCCTCTTCTCTGGGGGCTGCCTTCCAGAATCCCTCTCACACCCCCTGTTGGCTGAACCAAGCAGGAAGCCACCTGACCTGGGCGACTGGAAAGTGGGACTGCCAGGCCTGAGCCTCTCAGAGTCCAGTCCCGGTGACCTTGGGCTTCAAACGTGCTCTGCCCAGGTCTCGAGGGTGGGAAGGTGGGTGTGACTTGCAGGCTTCCCGCTGTGGAGGCTGGAGAGCCAGGAGAAAGCTCTATTTGAAAGGAACTGAGTCTGAGATGCTTCCACAAAGATGAGGCCAGCTCACCAGCCACTGGAAAAGCAATCTGGAATTCAGAGAAGAAGCGGAGCCTGCTGTTCAGCCTTTGAAAAGCCTCTGGTGTCTGGCCGCATCTCCTCATTTAAACCTGCTAATAAGATCATCCCGAGCTCCTTGCTGCTGTCGTGAAAATACTTGTTCTCATTCCTGCTGGAAATGTACCTTTAATAGGAAAGCGTCTGGACTTTTGCATTTCATGCTTGAGTACGTTATTGATTTTTTTCTAATTTCTGATAGAGACTAATTCAAAATATTTCCCCATTAGGCCTCAAGGACGGTTTGTCTTGTCCTTGCTGCTCAGCCTGGTGCAGTAAAAATCAGGGCTAACAGCTTTCCAAGGTAGAGGACGGCAGGCCCCTGCTCGACCCACTCATATCCATTGATTCACCTCCATTTCAGACAATTAAACAAACAAAGCCAGGGTTCAGACCGCTGGCAAGGCAGGGAGTGTGTTCTGTGTGTTAACAGATCCACAGGAGCCATTTTTAGTCCGATGTGTTTGGTGCTTGGACATGGTTGCCATTCTGCCCCCATTAGTCTAGGGGACACTAACTTCAGAGCACTGAGTCTTTCTCCGAATCATGATCTCACTGTACTCCCACCAAAAATGCTCTACAATGCTGAATCTGTCCACTCCAGATTGCCCTACCCTCTGCCTCCAGAAGGCATGTCCCACCATGCAGCTTTAGCATACTCACTGGCTCCCCTGTGCCCCCAGAGTTAAGAATGAACTTAAAGACATGCTTTTCTCTTTCTTTTCTTTTTTTTTTTTTTAAAGATTCATCCCTACATTTATACAAGCACGGGGTACAGTCAGAAGCACAGGAGGGTGAGAGAATTCACCAGAGACAGAGCGGGGAACAGAACAGGCAGACCAACGAAATACACTGCTGAGGGGAGCAGTGGGCGCGGCAGGAGAGGTCTGCGCGCCATGTGGGACCCTGGCCGGTGGCCGGGGATCGAACCGGCGCTGCAGAGGCTGCAGGCAGCTTGGCAGCCCAGCGCTTAACTGCTGCGCCACCAGGGGAGGCCCAACACATGCTTTTCTTAAACACATCTTTCACTGACTCACCTGTTCTTGAGCCTGGAGCACCACCCTGCAAGCCCACGCCTTATAGTCCTACCAGTCTTTCATGCCCATTCAAATGCCATCTTCTTCAGTAACACTTCGTAGCGCCCAGGTGCTTAGAGAGTTCATCATTTCCTAATGGCTGCAGCCAGTCAACTCTGGGTCCTGGTCTCACCCTCTCCCTACCCTGCTCCACTCTTTCCTTTGCCCCACTGTATTTGGAAGGCCCAGAATGTCAAGTTCATGTAGGCCAGGCCCTGTGGGCACTCACGGTGAGGTGTTGGTTGGAGCTGGAGCAATGTCTAACATCGCAGGTAACCACCACACCACACCACGGGTACCTCTGGGGAACAGTGAGCAGAGGTCAGGAAGGGAACCAGTGATGAGGGCTCCCCACGGACAGAAATGGCCAGCTCGGCAGACACAGCATGCATTTTAAGTGACTTTTCCTGGATTTGCTTGAGTAGCAGCTCAGTGTTCAAGTTGCCCCACAGAATGTTCTGGCATTCCTAAAGGATCCTCCTTTCTCTCAGAGCTGTGTTTTACAAAATGTGTGATTCCCTGGAAGTGCAGAATAGTAAGGGATGCTCTGTGTCCAGAGGGCACCCGTCATGAAAGTAATTCGAAAAATGGTCCATTAATGTGTTAAATGGGGGGAGGGCAGGAGAGGAGCTTGGAGGGCCCTGTGTTTTCTCATGAGCCACTTCAGGGAGGGCTGCCTTGAACCGGGGACCCCAGGCACCCTTTGACTCCTGGCATTTGAGCACCATAATCAAAAGAGACAGGGTTGATGGTAGGGATAGAATTAAGGACTTCCCAGGCAGCATGTCCTCAGAAAACGGCGCTCTGCGTCACAGCGTGGGAAACCAAGTGTGATGAAGCCTCAGCGGCCCCCTCCTTGCTCATCCCTCCCCATGGCTTTTAAAGAGTTCGTTTAGCCGTCAAGGCTTGACAGTCGAAATTACATACGTTGCAAACGGATCATTAACACTTACTTATAATTAGCTTAATTAGACACAAGCCACACATGATGTCCCAAATAACCCTGATTCTCTCTGGCTTTCCAGTTTTTTCCACAAAGGGCGCACTCGGCCAGCCCTGCCTGCTTGACCCCCCACGGCACCGTTCTCCACCAGACCCTGGATTTCGATGAGTTCGTCCCCCCGCTGCCACCTCCTCCCTACTACCCTCCAGAGTACACCTGTACGCCCACAGCCGAGGCCCACAGGTGGGTCTTTTCAGCAATGCTGGGGACTGCCCAAGATGGAAGCCTTTTGGAGGGCGGGGCATGTGGCAAGGCCAGGTCCATTCTCAGTGGAGTCTTGAGCAGGGCAGAGCAAGCTGGGAAGCACCTTTGATTAGAGAGCGGAGAGGGGAGGGCCAGAGGACAGGCCAGAGGTGGAACATTTCCGCTGGGAGCACTGCCGAGTAACCATTAACTCTAGCCAGACAGCGGCAGCTCTGTTAGGTTCTCCAAAAACACAAACCTGCTGTTGAATTCGAGTCATTCAGAGAACATGTAAAATGTAATTAAAGATCGTAATCAGTTGTATGGTTATTTTAATCTGAATGGAGTTGGTTGAAAATGTCCATCTTTCCAGGAGAAAAACAAAAGGTAGAGAAGCATAGTGGACCAGGCTTTGCTTTCATAAACACCCCAATTGTTGGATGAGGGGACACCCTGACAAGCCATGTTCTGACACATTAGGTGCATTGTCCCCAGATGCAGCCTCCTACCCAGGGAGTGACAGTTCTGTGGTTCTGCCTTTTCAGGGGCCTCCACCTGGACTTTGCTGCCTCGCCATTCAGTACCTTGTATGACGTTGCCATCAACAGCCCTGGCCTGCTCTATCCTGCCGAGCTCCCCCCCCCCTACGAAGCCGTCGTGGGCCCGACCCCAGCCAGCCAGGTGAGGCCCAGCCCCAGAAAAGCCGATTCCAGGTACTGAGGCCCTTGGCATGCGCCACACCCCTCTGAGCCTTCAGCGGCCCTGTGGGATGCTGGTCTTACTCACCTGACCTGGAGAGGAGGCCATGGGCTCACAGAGCAGGACCCAGGCCGGGGGAGTCCAGCCCCAGTGTTTGTGCTTTTCCTTTGGCTCCCTTCCGAAGGGACTGAGCTTATTGCTAGCAGTATGTTGGGGACACAGTACAGAAAGAGCTGCCACAGGTTCTAATTGGGGGACAGAGGCCTCAGTGGTGGAGCTCGGGGCATGGACCAGGAAGACTAGCGTGGCTTGATTCCTTGCCACTTCATCTTCTGGGGAGATGAGAACACTCTTCTGGATCCCTGGTCCTGTCTGAGGCATGTGACTTCAGGGGAGCTGAGGACCACTCTCAGAATGGGATCTGTAGCCAATTCTGGGCCCTGGGCACTGAGATGAGGAAAATGGGCAAAACCATGACTGGCAGGGGTGGCCATTCCATATTTGAGGAATAGAGGGCCAAGCTGAGTGGGAGCAAGCAAGGCTGGGCCAGGGGGTATCTAGAAATGCTCCTGGGAGGGGGAACACTGTGCAAAGCTCAGAGGAGGAGAGAGCACTGCGTGCCCACTACACAGAAGGCCACGCAGGATGAGGCTGAGTGTGATGTGGCTAGAAGTGACCTGCTCACGTGGCTCTTTGGAGTCCAAGGTCATTGGGACGTCCTAATGAGAGTCCGTAAGCGATGGGAGCTGTGGTCTGGGGCCTCAGAGAGATGGGGGTAGCTGCAGAGGCATCACTGAAACCTGGGAAACCAGGAGGGAGTGGGGTTCCAGGAGAGGAGGTGCTCTGGGGAATGGCCACGCTAGAGGAGGAGGGGCCCACAGCACAGGTCAAAGTACAGACAGAGCTCCAGGTTGCCCTGAAGCCGGACTCGCACAAACCAGTGTCAGGAAGTAAGGGGTAGGCCGAGGGCTGCCAGGAGGCTGTGCAGGGCTGACCCTGGCCACCTGGCTCACTGTGAAGGGACTGCTGATGACCTTGGCAGGAGGACTGCAGTGGGACAGCAGGAGCAAGATTGCATGGCATTGAGGAGGCCATGGGCACCCCAGTCGTGGAGTGCTTGTCAACCAAGTGCCGCTGTCTGGGTCCACCACAGAGGTTTTGAGTCTGTACCTGAGGGAGTAGTTGCAGGGTGGAAGAAGGGGTATAGGGGGAGGGCCTCTCCTTGCGGAGAGGAGGGAACTCTGCCACCCCCCACACCCACCATGGACACCCTATTTGCCGCATCACAGAATCCCAGCTTCCCGCTGGGGCTGGGACCAGCTTCACCTGCTCCCCGTTCTCCCTGCTGTGAGCGCTTCCTCCCATTTCCAGAAGAGGCAAGGCTGTAGAACCATTCCAGAGTCCTGAACCCCTGTGGCCGTGGTGGGCCTGCCTCTCCTCAGAGCCCTCTGCTTCTCCATCCGGATGATGAGACCCCTAAGAACACTGCTGAGGACAAGTATGTGGACCTCGCCCCCCAGGCCTTCCGGACCCCAGTGCTGAAAGTGGCCTCGGGACTTGGGTGTGGCATCGAGGCACTGCCTTGCACGCGGGAAGGATGTTGATAGTGCTTGTCCCTGACGTGAATATATTGGCGCATGGCCATATGGTTCTGACCCTATTCTCTGACTCATTTGAGGATTCTCCACTGCCTTGAACAGCAGACGCCTGCCTCGTATGGGCTGGGCCCTGCTCAGACGTTGCCAGCATATAAGTCCTGACGAACGTTGCCCTCAGAAGAAGCATGGGGTGGGTGTGTGTGCCTGGCCACCTTTCCTGGCCGCCCACCTGGGAGGAGGCAAGGAGGCAGCATCTGTGGTGAGGGGCCTGATCCTCTTTGACCCCCGAGTCTGGGCGCGCTTTCCAATCCCACAGACACCTCTGGAGTCTGAAAGTCGATGAAACTCATTCACTCCATAGTGGGATGGCTGTGCCCACCAGCTGCCCTCCCCCCTGGGAGGCCCTCCCCGTGGACTGAGAGTAAGGAGTGACCCTCTTTACAGCATGGCGCCTCCACGCTGGGCCGTGGAGGTTAATTACTTCCCCTTGCTAGGACAAACGGCATATAAATTGCCTATCAGCACTTGTTTGGATAAAGAGGGGGAGACAGAGGAGAGAAAAGCCTGCACTCTGCAGGGTATGTACAGGGCAGGAGGTGCCTGCTGGCTTGTTCGGAAGAGATTTTTAATGCGGAAGAAAAAGCACTCCCGCCTGAGCCGGTGGCTGTGACCCGCTCGCCTGCGTGGGCCCACACGAGCCTGCTCCCTCTGGACTTGGTTTACAACGTCTGTCTCTTTCCCATGGTGTGAGACTGTGCTTCCAGCAAGATCGAAAGGAGTGAATTACTTTCTATAGTGGGAAGGCTTTTGAGAATTTGCCAGTTGGCTGTTCCCAGATGGTTGACAAGTTGATGTTGCAGGGAGGGACCGAACCACAGATTGGACAGAATCCCCTCCTTGTGAAACTAACAGTCCACTGTGGAGACAGGGCAGAAGCAGAAAAAAAAAAAAAAAAAAAAAAACCTTTGGAGGGCTTCGGAGGATGAATCAGGCTTGACACTCTAGGTAGGCTTGGGCCTGTGAACAGAACCAGTAACTAGACACAAAGTTGCTAGACATCATGAGCCATAGAAAAATGAGATTTATTAAAATCATGTTAAATAACCACTTCACTACAACCATGTGGAAAACACAACCTCAAGATTTCTTTTTCTTTTCTTTTAGATTTATTTATTTATGCATAAAAGAACTGGGGTACAGACCAGAGGTGTGGGGGTGAGAGGATTCACCAGAGACAGAGTAGGCAGCAGAACAAGCAGATCTACTGAAATACACTGCTGAGAGGAGCAGCAGGCAAGGCAGGAGAGGTCTGCTGCACCACGTGGGTAGCTCCCTGGTCGGCTGGGGATCAAACTCATGCTGCAGAGGCTGCGGACAGCTTCACGGTGCTATGCTTAACCCCTTGCGCCAGCAAGGAGGCCCCAGGATTTCTTGACCTCCCTGCTTCTGCAGTCAGCCTGGCCAGAGATTCCAGAGCCTCTGCCAGCCCCACCAGGGAGAAGCAGACAGCTGTGGGTTGTGTCTGCTTTGCCGTGTGTTGGGGAAGAAGGGACGGAAGCTGTGGCTGAAAGTTATTATTTACTTTTTCAAACAAAATGATCTTGACATTCTGTTTTATTTTTTTAAGTCTATTTTCTTACATTCTATTTTCTTACATTCAAAAGAATTCTTACATTAGAATGTATTTTTTACATTCTGTTTTCTTACAATATTTGATTTCTCCCCATAAATCTCCCATCACCAGAACTTTACATTTCAAAATATAAGCAATGCGTCTGCAAAATTACCTGGGGATTGGGGCCTCCCCGCTGGTGCAGTGGTTGAGTGCAGGGTTGCGGGGCTGCCCGCAGCCTCTGCAGCGCCGGTTTGATCCCTGGCCACTGGGTGAGGGTCCCACATGGCACGCAGACCTCTCCTGCTGCGCCCGCTGCTCCCCTCAGCAGTGTATTTTGTCAGTCTGCCTGTTCTGTTCCCTGCTCTGGTTCTAGTGAGTTCTCTCACCCTCCCACGCTTCTGACTGTACCCAGTGCTTGTATAAATAAATAAAATAAATCTTAAAAATAAAATAAAATAAAAAAATAAAAAAAAAGATTACGTGGGGATGGTAGCCTAAAATCTTAATTCACATTTTCCACGACAACTGACCACGCCCCTCTTCCCTCTCCTCCCCTCGCCCCCGACCCTACCACCAGAACAGCTTTTTATAAATCTGGTTCTACCTGATTCTAGTAGTGGGACCCTTATTCCAGACACTCAGAATTTCTATGTGGGGTGTCTCAGCCGCAGAGTCACCCCAAAAGAAAGGGAGATGAGGAAAACTGGCTAAATGCCAATTGACTTTTCGATCGCAAAATAGCGTCTCGAGAATAAATAAGTGCAGACCTTTGAGAGTCCCAAATTAAGTTATACATTCGGGGCCTCCTTTCAACACTCCTCTGACCCTATCACCTGCAAGAACTATGTGATGCACGGTTATTGCCAAACTCAGATTCTAACTTAAGTTCTGTGCTACAAACATATTTCTTCTCCATCTTTTCTGCTGCCTTTATATTTAATCAAAAAGCGTTGCGTGAATTGAATAGCTTTTTCCCCCGCAGCTTCCATGTGGCCAGGTGACCTATGACATCAGGGGAGGCCAAATTCAAATTAAACTCTTGACACCCTGCTTGGAAGAGGTGATAGAGGTGCCCCCAGGAGCTGTCTCCTCTGGAAACCAAATTTGACAGGGAACCAGAGGGAAGCCAGGCCCGCCCCTGCACAATATAAAACGAATCCAATTTCCTCCTGACCTTCTCCCACTCTGTATTTTCTCTCTCTTGTTTTATTTATATTTCTTTATTACCAGAAGACTTTTCTCAAGCAGTGGGTTCCCGAATTGCCACACACCCCAGCGAAGAGAGTTGTGGAAATTAACAATCCTTAAGGGCATTGTTCTTTCTTTGTGATTTAGCAGCAGATTCTTGAGGGAGATTTCTGGAATTGGTTATTGGCGTATAGTGATTGTGGTGAAATAGGAAGTGTGTGCCGCTGGCCCTGTGACTCCTCCCTACCCTTCCCTCCCCAGCAGAAAAGGAGCACAGAGGAAGGAAAACAGGGGGTGCAGTAGTCTATACAAGTAGCATCAAAGGAAACATTTAGGCTGTTCTGGGTCTTCTCTGCTGGGGGACTTTGCCCTCCAAAACGCCCCGCAGGCCCTTGTAGCGGGCACAGCTCACCCGCTTTCCGCGGGTGGGAGGGCTGCAGCCTGCCACCTGCTGCAGCACCAGGCTGGTTGAAAGAGGAGAGATGAAGAATATCAGCTGTCTGATTGAAGTGGCGGGGAGACCAGGGAGGCAGAAATGTAATTACCTGAGCTGGAATCGGACCAAGCCACAGGGGCCCGCCTCTCCTTCCCTGGCCTCCCCCAGAGCTCATTATTTGCAAGTGTGTGCCCAAAGCAATTCTGAAATAACAGGAAGATTCAGGCATCATTTTTTTTTTTTTTTTGAGATAGCACAGGGACACGTGTGTCCAGCATTCATCACAGCCCGGTGGGGCAATTGTGCCCTAAGGCAAAACTGAAACAGAAGTGCTTGCCCAGGGTAGAACGGGGGCTGATCAGAAGACAGGCGGGTGAGGATTGGATGGGAGGACAGATGTGCCCCATCCCTGCCCAGCATGGAGGCCTGGTCTTTCCCCTGCCTAGGCCTAAGGCATCTCTGGTAGAATGATCCAGAAGAAAGCTGCAGTAGCAAGACGACCACCCTGGAAGCTCTGGGTGCCTGCTGGCCTAGGACAGTAGGACATCTAACTGCTCTGGGACCACAAGACCCAGTCACATGGCCCCTGGGACCTGGACTCTGAACCTGAGGTCAAGCAGGAGAGCGGTCTGGTGGGTGACCTCTTGATCCGATCTGCAGAAACCAAAAGGGAAGAAAGAGCAAATGGAGGCCAAGGCTATTCAGTGCCCACCCTGTGTCCAGCTGGCCCAAAGCATGGGTCTTCTCATTCTGGGATGGAATCAGGTGGCAAACAGAAGAGAAGGGGTATGGAAGCGAGGGCAGAGGCTGTGACTTACCAATAACAGTAACAGTTAGGAACACATGTTTTGTCCGGTCTGTGTTTTACATACTAGCAAGCCAGAGAAAAGAACATGTTATTATGGCAATCAGGAAGGACATGTGTTCTCTGTATTTTTGGCCACGGGCTTCAGGGATCAATTGACTATTTATTGAAAAAAAATATTGAAAAAAAGCTTGTGCTGTCCAGGGGTTCAAGGTGTGTGTCCCTCCGTAGCCCTGTGAGAAGACGAGGTCTGTCTCTCTAAAACATACACAGTGTTGTCAGTCACCATCACCTCCGTAAACCCAATAAAAAACATAACTAGACTTGGTCATCAGTTAGACAAAATCCTAACATTTTCAGTGATTTCGTTTTGTTTCTCTTGTTTTGATTTTTAAAATCTAGTTTACATTTCAGTAACAAAAATTAAGTCAAGTCAGCCTTTTTTTCTGGAAGCTGATGTGCTTTGTTCCCTCGAGGCCAGAGGACCCCCAGCCCCGCTGATGTCTCTGTCTCTTGCTTTAGCTGGTGAGTGTAGAGCAGCCGGGGACCGAGTCCAGCTCCGGGGACCCAGGCTCCACCGCTGGCTTCAGCGCACAAGGTAACTAAACCCTTTCGGTGCTGGGCTCACACCCTTCCGTTCCCAGGGGCGCCCTCCTCCTGTCTGCTCTTCCTGCTGTGCCCCCCACCACTTCTTACCCTTTAAGAAGATGGGCTATGCCACCGCCTTTCCTGGTAAGTACCATGTAAGTTTCCCACCTTCTCTCCCTGACCTGCCTCCAGGAGGTCAATACCTGGGTGGCCTCAGACTTTCTCGGGGTGCAGGTCGGGAGTTGCTCCCTCCCTTAGGTGCCCTTTCTCTCTTACTTGATGGGTGTGGATTTAGAAAACTTGGGGAACCTTCCAGAACAAAAATCATACAGGCTGATGTCTACTTGGCTCTTCCCCCAGGAGGGGGCTGGGCTGGGCCAGGCTGGATGTTGTGTCCTGGGGCGCACTGAAGGGTAAAAGGCAAATGCCAGATCCCAGCTATGGGGTGGGAGCCAGAGAGCACAGCCAGGGGCAGGAGAGGAGCCCAACACAGCAGGAAAGCTTCATAGCAGAGGGAGCCAAAGGGCAGGGCTGGGCATTTTCGGGGGGTAGAAGGGGGCTTCTTCTTAAGGCCCCTGGGCGAGGCTTATGCGAGCAGACTTATTCAGAGACCCAAGTCAGATAACTCGTGCAATGATGAAGGGTCCAGAAAGGACCCTCCCCAGCTGAAGAACCTGTCTGTCTGTGAGGCCACCTCTGGGTCACAGGAGCCCCAGATATCTGCAGTTGTGGGATTTGGAAATGACCTCGTCTTTCCCAGGGGTGCTTCGGAGTGCAGTGAGTCTGGGCGCCATCACAGATGACCAGGATTGCGTGGGGCATCCTAGTGTTAGGGCTGTGGGGCCTCCTGCCACAGGGTTCCCATGGGGGCTGAGGTTGAGGTCAAGATCCACTGGGCATGTCCAGTGGCTCCTGGCCGCTTGCTGTTTTTGTGCCTTCGTCAACACTCAGTTGGGCCTGGTTGTGCTGGGCTGTTGCTGGGTCCTCCTTGTCTTCCCATCGGTCCGTGTGTCAGCCAATCCCACACTGCGTTCCTACAACCTACAATATGCCCGAATAACAGGCCAGGGACTTTCTTCTTTGTCAGCATTATCCCAGGTGCTCCAGGGCCTGTGCTTTTCCATTAGAATCCTCTCACCTGTCCCCACAAACCTTGCTGAGATTTTTTTTTAATCAATATTTTATTTTATATAATTCTTACATCGTTTTTCATTTTTGCACAATGTATGCATTTTCATTTTGGTTATATTCCCCATATAATTGCACCCCCCCCTTATTTTGACCCTAGTCCTTCCTCTCCCCTTCCCTCCCGCCCCCTTGCTGAGATTTTGATAGGAACTGCATTAAACCTGTGGAGCAACTTGGTAGAATCACCTTCTTTCCAAAGCCGAGCCCGCCCATGTGTCAGCAGGTTGTGTCTCCCCTGGCGGGGATCCTCCTGGATTCCCTTCATCCGCCTTTTGTCCTCAGCACGCGGATCCTGGACAGGTTTTGTTGCGTGTACACTCAAGCCATCTGATTTCTTTTTTTTTTTTTTTTAAGAATTTATTTATTTATGCATACAAGAACTGGGGTACAGGCCAGAGGTGCCGGGAGGGGGGTGAGAGGGTTCACCAGAGACAGAGTGGGGAACAGAACAGGTAGACTAACCAAAGTACACTGCTGAGGGGAGCAGTTGGCGAGACAGAAGAGGTCTGCTGCGCCATGTGGGTTTCTCCCTGGCCGGCCGGGTATCGAACTCGTGCTGCAGAGGCTGCAGGCAGCTTCACAGCGCTGTACTTAACCCCTTGCGCCACCAGGGAGGCCCGGGCCATCTGGTTTTCCATACTGCTGGTTTTCCAGATTTACTGCTGTAAATCATGTTGTGTTTTCACTTTGGGTTTCAGTTCTGTAACAAACTGTGACTCAAATTGGACACAGATTCCTTCCTGCGGGTGGGTGTGTCCTGCCACTTTGCTGATCTCACTTATTAGCTCTAACCTTTTTTTCTGGAAGGTTCTGTTATTGTTTTTTCACCTACTACAAGAGCAGAAGAGTAAGGAGGACGTGGATGCTGATGAGAGCGGAGGGAAGGAGCTTGCCAGGTCTTGACTGGCAGCTGTAGTCACCCAGCCTTTTGGCAGAGCATTGACATAAAGAGCCATAAATGTGTGCCCTTAGATGTGGGGATGGCACAATGCAAACAAACAAAAAGAAAGCTCTAGCCTTGAAGACAAGTTTTGCTTTTCCTAACACTTAAAACCTATGGGGACAACGAAGTTCATTAGTAAGAGTCCAGGAAAGTATGTTACACCTGCTAAAGGCATTATCTTACGCTAATTAGGAAAACACTGGTAACCTGATAGGTAAAAAACTGGAAGTCCTGTAAGATTGTGACAGTTGTAAAATCAGGCACAACACCGGGTTGAGGACGAACAAAATGAGACTTGCCAGCCTGGCCCCAACCTCTAGCTGTGATGTTACCTTAATTTTATAAATGTCTGTTAATTAGATATACGTTCAGGGCTAGGTCACATTTGTCCGTCTGCGACTGCATTCCCCGGAGGAACTCAGGCACTGGCTTATCACTGACTTTAAGGAAATTGGGATCAAAGGTATGTGCCTGTGTCCAGACTCATCAGGTCACATGAAATGGGGACAAGAGCATCTTGATTTAGTTTTCCCTAAATCAAGCTGCATGTGCATGAGTGAGTGGGTGAGTGTGTGTGTGTGTGTGTGTGTGTGAGAGAGAGAAAGAGAGAGAGAGAGAGAGAGAGAATTGGGATCTAGAGGGATCAGATCAGCAGGAATGAATATTATTCACAATGATTTCATATACCGCTGTGCAATTTGGATAGGATTTTGATTGAGTTAATAATGATAATATCTGATTTTAAGGGTTTCTAATGATACAGGAGAGTGTTGTTTCTTTTCTACATTTACTTATTCAGTTTGAACGCTTGCCCAGTTATTTTCTTAGCATAAATTCCTCCAAGTGAAACTGCTGATTGCATGGAAGGTGTGTTTTAGATTTTAATATATTGGCCACTTGGCATTCTGCAAAGTTCTTTGCACTAGTTTACTCCAGCACCAACAGAGGTGATGACACCCCAAGGTATTATCACCCTGTAGGAATACGTGATACACACGTGTGACGCACTCACTCTCACACTTAATGACACCATATATACTCACTCTCATGTGAGTGACACACTCACTGTCACACTTAGATGCACACCATATATGCTCACTCACACACACCACACACATGTTCATATGCACACAACATGCATTCATATAACTCAAAACAATTATACAACATGCATACTCATGTACAGCACACACACACTCCTATCCAACATACGCACTCCTACACAACACACACACACACAGTTTGAGGTCCCTTTTTTTCTCTTGCAGTAATTTGGGTTCCTGGTAGACTTATAAATTGACCCAGCTTTTCTTTTATAGCTCCTATCATGTTGAAAAGTCTTTGTCCACCCCCGAGAAAATCTGTTTTCTTCTTCTATCCTTTTACTATCTTAGAAAAGAAAAGGCTTAATCATCTGAATTTTTTTTTTTTTTTTGCACATGATGCGTGAGGTCCGGATCATTGCTCTGTTTTCCTAAATGGACTGTTAATGATCCCAAAGCATTTGCGGAGCAGGGAGGGCAGCGGGAGGCAGCGGAGGGGTGGTTAAGCAAGAGTGCTCTGGAATCTTCTACCCAACTCCACCGCTGGCTGCTTGGTGACTGTCCCCTGCCCTCTCTCTGCTGCATTTCCTCGGCTGTGGTTTGAGGGTGCCCTAGGTGGACGGTGAGCGTTAAGTAGGAGGGGTCCTCTGAAACACCCTTTGCACAAGGCAAGCCCACAGAGGTCACACACACGTCAGACTTTCCTCAGTTTCCCCGTGGGATCCACAGGCAGATGTAAGGGACACACCTCAAAGCCTCCCACCCCTGGAGGAGTTCATGCTGCTGGGATTCTAACCAAGTGTCCCTGGGCAAGTCACTCACCTGAAAGCTACCCCTGCAGGGCGAGGAGCCTCAGGGGAGCAAACTCTGATGTCTGGGGAAAAAGAGTGAGTGCTTCTTGACCTTTAATGTGCACATAGGTCCTGAGGGGGACTTGTTAAAATATGTTCTGATCCGGCCCCTTGGGGGAGCAGGGGTGCAGTGGGGCCATGGGGGGTGCACCCTCGGAGTAGGAAGGGCTGGGCCTAGCCTGCCAGGTACCACAGGCATCTAGAACAGCGGTTGGCACACTTAAGGGTTCTCTGGTTCAAACCCTGTCATCCTCCCATCCCCCCTAAACCCCCCCACCCCCTGCAGAGTTTCTGACTCAGCAGGTCTGGGCAGGGCTGGGAATGCACATCTCTGACACATTCCCAGGTGGTTCTGAGGCTGCTGGCCCGGCCCGTGCTTTGGGGGGTTACCTCACCTGCCAGGCTCGAAGGCACTCCAGGCCATGGGGGTGCACCCTGATTGGTTCGGCAGGTTTCAACACATCAGAACCTAGCAGGGATGCCCTGGTGAACCCAGAATTCCCATTTCCCTGCATGGACATTGCTCATCGAGTGTCCTGGCACCACCAATCCCTACCTCTTGTGCTTTAGATCAAGGGGTGCCCTTGATGGGGATCAGGCTGGTTTCAACTTTTAGTTTTTGTGGCGAGTCCAAGTCCCCACCCCCAACCTCAGGGATGATTCCAGACGGGGGCATCTGGAGTCCCCCAACCTTTCCAAACCAGAGCATTTATCAATCTGTTCAGAGTTTCCACACCCCCAAGATTTCAGGGCTAATCCAGGTTTGGGGTAGGTAGGGAAGGCTGCCACATGCCCATGGGAGACCTCCGGGAGGCAAATTTGAGCCCCCGCCAACAGATAACCCTTGTCACCCCTTCAGAACAGCCCAGGCTCCCCCTGCACCAGCCCTCACGCCGTGTCTCTTGCCTTGCAGCGCCAGCCGACAGCACAAGCCTCCCAGCATCCGAGGGTGCCTCTGCGCCTGGTCCAAGCCACCCGACCCCCGAAGACCCGGCAGGCGCCCCACCGCCCACCCCACACGCAGGTTGCGCATCTCCAGAGGGCCTGGTCCAGGGCAAGAGGGTGCAGCCGGGATCTGGGCGCATTGCCCGGTCCGCCAGCGACCCCACCTCTTGCTCATCCAGTGCAGCAGGTATGGCCCGCCGAGCCCTCCATGTCCCCGGTGTGTGCCAGCTCTGCCGTGGGCACTGCAGCCTCACTGGCCGCTGAGAGTCAGGGCGAGGCCCTGGGAACCATGCGCAGGGACTACATTGGGAACATGGTCTTGATGTCTTAGGCCCCTAAGGGGGATTGAGATGGCCCCTGCTGTCCCAACAGGCTTGCCAGCCCCCTGCTACATAAGCCTGCAGGTTGCATGCCCACTCCGGGGCCCAGGCAGAGCCCAGGGTCAGCCCAGTGACCACAGAAGAATTGCATCCCTGCAGGGAAACAGAAACCCCCAACAATCAGTTGCCTATAGGTGCCCTCCTGGTAGAAATGGCATCCCTTTTTTCATCTGCAGGCGCCAGGACCAGCATTCGTCTCTCTCTGCCCGCATTTAGTTGCCAGCTTTTGTCCAGAAGGCTCCTTCCAAATCTTCCCCTAAGAGGGTCCCCTCTGCTGACATTTTCCAGGATCAGACCTACCCTCTGCCCCGTTAAGTTCAATGCATGACCACATTCACCTGCTGAGGTTCCCATGCCCTCGGATGTCCTGCTCTGCGATGCCCCGATGGCTTTCTTGCAGGCCTGTCCCCTGCAGTGGAATTTGTGCTCTGCAACCCGTGACACTTTAGGGATGAAGACAAAGGGGATCGGAAGTTAGATTATACAAGGTGTACCCACACATACCATCACCCTGCCCTGTTGCTTCAGCCTCCTCTGGGATCGTGGAGACCAGTTTCTGTTCCGCACCTCGAAGGCATGTTCCTCCCCAGGTCCCTGGAGACCCTCCAAGGCAGCTGGCATTCCACCGAAGGGCCCCCCGCTCCTCTCTGGCATGGCCTGCCAAGCTGTGAGGGGCCAGGCTGGGACCGCGTTCCCCCAGGAGACACTGCTGCCCCCTGGTGGGTGCAGCTGCAGGGCTGTTCCTGTTGTATCTGATCATGGGCCTATTGGTCAAGTTCAGTTTTCCTCTGCTGCTTTCAGTTGCCAGACAAGCATCTGAAATAATATATTTCTCGTCTGGGGAGGGTTATTGTAGTGTTGGCATCAAAAATTCCTTTCTCCCTTCACGTGTTAACCAAATTCTCTTTCTGGTTAAGGTGATTCCTCTTCGAACACCCCCTCCTGCAGCCAGGACCTTGAAGCAGGACTGTCCCGGGCTCTGGGGACTGGTGAGGTCGTCCTTTTCTAAGACACGTTGACACCTGCTGCAAATTGGGGGGCGGGGGTTGGCGGGCTAGCGGTCCTTGCCTGCCTTGTGTCTGAATCCAGCCTCTCACAGTGTCAGGTGGGAACATGAGTTCTCCAGTCGCCTGGTTCTTGAAAGAACAGCCCTCCTTCCTTGCCCTTCTCGGTGAAGAAGGAGCTGCGGAGACAGAGATCCTATAAGTACTAGAACATCGTGACAGCTGCTTGTTTCCCTGTACTCAGGAGATTCTATTTGGACAGAGACTGGCGCCACATAGGAGCTGTTTGCTTTCTCCTGCTTAGTTGTCCAGTGACTTCATTGCCTCCCCTAATCCCCCAGTCACCCAGAATGTGTCTACTCTGTGTGACTTGAAACTTAGCTGAGGCAAATCGGGCCCTGCCTGAGCACCCTGAACTCTGCTGCTCTCTGAGAGGTGGCTGCCATCTGCCCCAGGGCATGGCGGAGGGGTCTCTTATTGCCCCTCTGCGAGCCCCAGCTCTTGTCTGTAGGCAGGTGATCTCTAGATGCCATCAGACCCATAAAGGCAAAGGTCACTGATCGGGGGGAAACTGGGAAGGGTCAACGCTAGCCCCTCCCCCTGGACCCTCTCTGCGTGCTGAGGAATTCTAGCAGAGAGGGGGAGAGATGGGGGACCCCTGCCTTAGCCCTGCCCATCTTCACATTTTGCCCTTCCGTCTGCAGTGTGGGGGAAGCAGGGACCATGTGGAACAGAGTCTAGGAACCCAGGAACCCCAGCAGAGAGGGTGTCCCCAACAAGCTTGTGTGTGCTTTCAGAAGAATATATGTAACAGCTGCCTTTTGTTGCATGGTTTTCAAATTGGGCTTTTCCCCTTGCTTTGCAGTCTCCCTGTCTCGCTCCATCACAGCCACTTGTGCGCATCGGCACCCCTTTTCATCTCCCGGGGAATCACAGGCCTGGAAAACCGACGCACGGTTAAAGCCAGAGGCCTTACAGACGGTCTCCAAAGAGCAGCCACACGCTTTAGTGGCCAGCAAGGCCTATGCAGACACCAGGGTGTTGGTGGCTAAGTTTTTGGAACATTCTAACTGCTCGCTCCCGCCCGAGGTGCGGCACGTGGTGGGCGCCCTCCGCTCGGCGGTCACCTCGGAGGAGTGCCACGTGGAGCAGGCCATCCTCAGCGCCGGAGTCCTTGACCAGGTGTGAACGAGTCACAGGTCTCCACGTGAACCGGGACGAGCCTGGCACCAGCATGTCCTGCTGCTGGAGATGCCAGGCCTTCAAGGACAGACCTACGGCCCAGGAGGATCTTGGGGTGCCTGGGGCGGGTGGGAACTGCCTCCCTGTTGGGAGGTGCATCTGGTCATTTGTTTCCTGGGGGATGACACGTCCTACCTATTCCAGTAATACAGAAAATGACTCTCTTGTGTCCATCGTGAACTCTGTGGTTTTGTCAGGCACGTGCACCTCACCAGCCTTGCAGGGGTGCAGTGGCAGGCGCCCCCTGTGCCTGCGGCCTTCCTCCCCCGGTTTAGTGTAGTGTTAAGTGGATAGAGGATGACATCACATAACCAGGGCACTTTCTCACGTGACTTGTATCACTCAGTCATCAACCCTTTATCACATGTGGAATTTAAAGAAAATAGGCCATTCCAGCACAGAGGGCAGCCGTGGAACAATGAGGGGCTCCACAGTAGCCATGCCAGCTTGGGAGGCGGATGGACGTAGCATGGGTCTTCCAGAAGGGACCCCCTCCATCACCTCATCTCCCAGGCCTCCTCTCTGCCTCCCCCCAGCAGGTGCCTTCCTCACCTTCTCAGTCTCCCGCATTTTGGTTCCAGTAAGGAGCAGCCTCTAGTGGTTATTTGTCCCATATGGTAAGGGCCATATACAGCCACTTTGGGGGGTTCACCTGTGTCTACCTTCCCCAGGATGGACTCAGTGGGTGATCTGGCAAAAGCATCCTGTGTCCCGAGATATGTCATCTCCCGAGAAAGAGTGTTCCCAGGGCGTTCCCTTCCCCAGCCAGGGGCCAGCAGTCACAGCTGCCTCGGAGAACGCATTTCCTTCCAGAAAATGCCCAGAGTTGAAGAGGCAGAAGCAGGCAGTCCTCGCTCCTCTGCACCTGTTGACTCGGCCCCCAGCCCCTCCTGTTTTGGCAACGTCAGGGGCAGCACTTCCCCTCAGTCACCCTAGGGCAACACTGACCTTCTAGAACTTTTCATGATGGGGATTTGCAAAAAACCTGCACCATCCAAAATGGCAGCCACTGACTAGGGGCCCCTGCATTGAACAAGGCAGCTCATAGGCCCCAGGTTTCAACCAAGAGCCCACGGGCCTGCCATGGACAGTGCCTGCCACTACTCCAGGCCCAGCAGTCCAAGCGACATGGCTGCCTTTCTCCTCTGCCCTGTACCACCTTTGGCCAGTGTGCTGGGGCTGAGAGGGGGGCATCCCAGAAGTCTGGTGTCCTGGGAAATGAGGCGCAGGAAGCCTGCAGCGACAGTCAGCTGTGGACACTTCTGTCGCCTCACTGATTTTACTGCCGTTGCCTCCCAGGGGTGAGTCGGTTGGAAAAATACAGATTACCCTTTTGATGACAACCCGAACTTTTCCACTGGAGACAGACCAGAGGTGGATTGATGAGCACTTTATTCAGACTATAAAATGGGAAATCTGTTCTTTTCATTTTTCTCGCCTGAGAGCTTGGGAACTTCCCCAAAGTGCAACCCCTTGCAAGGTGAAGTTAATTGGTGGTTTTTCCAAGTGGCCTCCCCTGAGCCTACCTGCAAAATGTTAATGGCCCCGACGCCCTGGTCAATGAATCAGGGCATTTTCTTTCTCTCCGTGTAGGATCCAGAGCTGCTGTGGGGAGCCCTAATTCTGGTCTGGGAGCTCAAAAAGTGTCCCTGGGCTAAGCCTTGGGGTGAGCTAAGCCTGTGATTGGCAGACGTGGGTACAATTCTCGTAGAATCAGCCCCTTACCCGCCTGGCCCCTGGAGCCCACGCCCCAGTGTCTTATTGTGAGCACTGGGCCACCCTGCGTGGAGCCCTGCGGCCTCCCCTTCTGCTCTCAGGTGGGGGCCGCTGTCTTCTCTGCCAGCCGGAGCCCCTGGCCCAGGCTGTGTCTCGCCTACAGCACAGGTGAGTGGTCTGGTCCAAAGCCCGGGTCCACACTCCCTCAAATGTTCTGCCCTTCACACCCACCTCAAAGTTCACTTTCATATTTGCTGTCATAGTAGCTCTACCTTTTGGATGAGGGAGCTGTGCCCCATTTTGTATTGATGGGCCATAACCTGCCTCACTGTTCAGAGCCCAGGGCGGACCATGTCAGCTCTGGAGGGCTCAGGAAAGGTCTGGGCAGAGAGAGATGCCAGTTAGAACCATCTAGAGTGGACTGGAACCCCACTCCCCAGCTCCTGGTCTGGGAACCAGGAGCCTCAATATCTAGCACCTCAAGTCCCAGATGTGTGGGTGTGTTGCTGAGGGGGAAGCTCTCCCCCATCTGGAAGCCTCTTCTCCAGCTCGCTCTTACGCTGTCTGAAATGGGAGCTTCCCTCCAGCTGGGCTTCTGTTCTCCCCATTCTTGAGAACAGAGAGCAGGCCTGCATGGGAGCCCCACCTGCGAAACCCTCCACCTACAGAGGGTTCCCCCCAACTCCGCCGGCACTGGGCTCTCATAGCCAAAAGGGGGCTGAGTGTGGGTCAGAGTCTGACCAGACCCTGCCACTGAACCCAGCTTGGGGCCCTCAAGAATGCTGAGTCGGGGAGCTCTGGACCCCAGCTCTGTGGCCAACCAAGAAGTGGACTCATCCTTCACAAGGACTTAAACGTCGCCTTCAGCAGGCGACAGTAATTCGAATTAAACGCTGTAACAAACCATGTAACAGAAAGCCCATGCCAGCGCGTTCCCATCGGCTGTATTGATTCACAGGCGCTGCTGTTAAGACAGAATTTATAGGAAATTGTTTTCCAGTCACAGGAGACCTGTTTGTACAACTTGAAGGTTGTATTTATTTAATGTACCTCAAGGTGTTTTCATAATGATCAGTGTTTTAATAAAAACTATTTCTGGCCTCTGTGTCTCTAAGATCTAATTGGGACAGAGACAGAGGCCAAGAGCCCATGATCAGAGCAGTGACCAGGGCCCCGGGGGGGTCGGGCTGGGCTCTCGAGCCTTCCCAAGGTGTCTCCCAGTGCATTTCTGGAGCTGCTCAGGCCCTGCCGTTTCTGCAGCCTAAGCCCCTTCCCCCAGCTTTTACTCATGTGACATTTCTTATCACCTGAGAGTGTGGGCTGGTCCTGGCTACTGGCTGCACGCAGGGCCTGGCCAGTAGCTCACAGCAAGTGCATGGATGAGAAGAGAAGGTTCCTACTTGCCCAAGGTCCCCAAGCCTCTGACCAAAGGCCCCCCTTCATCCCTGCCTCCCCCTGCCAGATGACACCAGGACAGGGGTGATGGGAGTGTTGTCACTCCCTGTTACTACCCGTGAAACTGCAGAGGGCCCTGCAGGTAAGAAGTGCTTGGATGGAGGTGGCAGCGTGTGCACACACACGCACACGCGTGCGCGCACACACATATGCACACGCACACACCTGAAGGTCATTTACATTGAAGTCAGGAGAAGCCAAGCCTTCCTCTCCCCTACTCAGCTGGAGCAGGGAAGGCAGGCAGGCCCAGGGGCCTTCACCATCTCTGACCCTCTAGCCACTGGGTGACTGGAGCGCCCCCCTCTGGCCTCCTTGGGGAAAGCCCAGGAGGTTCCAGCCCAGGAGGATGCAGCCAGCACACAGCATCCAGGCAGAGCTGGGGTGCCCCGTGGAGTGGGTGCAGAGGGGGGCCTTCCCTTCTCGGTTAACAAATCAGCCACACGAACAGCTTTTCATCATGACTTCAGGTTTATTAGAGATATTAGCGAGTCTTCCTAAGGTCGGCTGCATGCAACACACAGGTCACTCCTTGAATACAGTAATCCTAAAGCTTTAGTTACTGCTTGGTAAGGCTTCTTAAGTCACAGTGTATTCTTCAAGGCCCGGGCCAAAAAAAGAGACTTCCAGACAAAATGACGTCAGTTAACATTGATCTCTAATGAACTGAACTAGACTACGTTTTACTTCATCTACACACACTCTAATACTGCTCACGGTGAGGGGGCCTGGCTGGCCAAGTGACTGGGGCTCACCGCAGGCGCCCCCAGCATGGCCGAGGTCCAGTTCACTGGTGTGGGTTCTGTTCATTTGGGGGAGGGGAGCGTGTGTGGATGCATGTGTGTGAAGCTTTGAGCCTGGCTGCTCTCCCTGTGCCCGGGAAGGAGCTAGCAGGCCCGCAGGTGGGGAGGCCCGTGGGGTTGTGCCCAGGTAAGTCCACAGAGACTCCAGGCCAGGAGCAGCAGGTGAGGTCCCGGGTCACCTGGAAACCCTAAAGTCTGAAGAACGGCTTTGTCAAAATAAAAGTCAGAACCGTGATACCCTCTAAAGAAATAGGGAGTTTTGATCTTGCGGCCATCATCCTTTATTTAACTCAGGAACATCTCCTCCCTCGTGAAATACAATCACATGTTCCCAAAGTTTAATTACAAGTCACATCCTGAGAGCTGGGCTGGCGAGGAAGCAGCAGCGGGAGCAGCGCCTCGGGGTGCTGGGGCACCCTCCCCCCGCAGGACCCCAGGCCCCCCGGGCTCCCTGCACAGCCACTTCCGGAAGCCCCACGTCTGCTCTCCGCGGCTTCGGAGGAACGACACACTCCACACCACACAGAAGTACAAAGAAACACCCTCGTAGTCGCAATGAGAAGAGTTCAAAACGCGGCAAAATACTCGACTGTCTACAAAGACTGGTTCCTGTGACTCTTTTGATAAAGACATACCCCTTTTGGTCCCAAAAAAAAAAAAAAAGTGGGTGGTGAGGGCACGCCCTTCAGGGAAGCCAGTGTCCTTGGGTGGACTTTGGGGTCAGGGGTCAGCCTGAGTCCGGCCCCCCGCTCCTCTGAGCCCAGGCGGGCTGGGCCGTGCAGGCCGGGCGGCCTAGATGTACAGCGGGGTCTCCTGGCCTGTGAGGAGCCGGAACATGGCGGCAGGCATGGTCTTCATGTGGATCTGTCAATGAGAGACAGGGGCTGAGCCAGCTCCCCTCCCACCTCCCTGCCCTCCCCTCTCCCCAGACACAATCAATGAAAACAAACCCAAACCATGGGAAGCCATGGTTCCCCCCCTCCCCTGACACCCCCACGAGGCCTGACTTAGTCCAGTACCAGCTTTCAGAAGAAGAATGGCCATCATCACCACAGACTGTGATTTAGAAAGTGCTTCCTGGTGCAGACTATTACCTGGACCCCCAATGGGTCTTGAGAAGTTTTACACAAGGTGAGGTGCCAGCTTCCCCTTCCTCAAGCTCACACCTCGGGCCTGGTTTTAACTGTGACTACTGTTTGTCTACTGCCTGGGGGCAGGGGAGAGGGGCCTCCAGGCCTCTGCAGGAACTGTATGGTGAGGAGATAACAGGCAAGGGGTGCACACAGCCCTTCCCAGGAAGCCAGGGGACACGCGCGTTCTGACCCGGCAACTCCCTGGCTGATGGCCAGGGGGTCTCACGGCCAATCCTTTGGCGGCCAGTAAGCAAACAAACCTTTGGGGCCTGGACTCACTCCCTGGCTCCAAGGACACTGGGTACACTGTGAGGCTGACTGTGAGGGCATACTCCCCGAAGGTACTAGGAGGCAAATAGTAACCCCGGGGATCCCGGACAGGGTGGGCTCTGCTTCTGCCCCCTTCCAGCATTCTGCTCTGGCGGGCCTGCCTAGGGTCACGCTGTGCCAGGCCCCTGAGTGTGCCATGGCCCCAGGGGTCTGCCCAGCAAGGGCAGTGCTAACCTCAGCCTCCCCGTGCCCAGGGCAGGTGACGAGAAGTGAGGTCCCTGGGGCCACCCTCCCTCAGGCAAGCTGCTCTCACACCCTCCATCTGACCAACCCCAACAGGATGATTTTGCAGATGCGTTCTGGTTTTATCACTCATGCTCCCTGCTCACCCCCACCAGAGTCTGTCTGATCAAGATTTTCGCTCCTCCATCTCCCCAGAGGGGCTTGTTCCATCCAAAGAAGCAGCCTGTGTAATTCCTCGATCTGAAACCTGCCCCCAAGGCTCATCAACACCACAGGTCTTGCCTATCAGTGGCTAATGGAGGAGGGGAGAAGCAGGCAGGCAGGCATCTTAATCTCCGGCCCAGGCCTGGGCAAGCGTGAGTCCCACTGAAGAGCCTCACCCACCCCTGCCTACGAGCCTCTCCGGTGTCAGCTCATCTCAGGTCTGAGAGGCGGAAACCTTCTTCCAGCTCCCAGCCCAGACTCCCCCCTCACCCCATCTCCATTGATTTCCTCCCAGGTGTGACAGTGATCGTCTCCGTGGGGCAGCATTTCTAAGAATCTACTTAGAAAAATTGGATTTTCCTTTCTTCGAAGCCATTTGTAGAAGGAGGCTAATGGTGCCTCCCTGGCCCCAGTCTCTCCCGAGCACCAGCCATCTGCAACTGCCCATCCGGGGAATCAGGCCACCCCCAGCCCCGCCAGCTTCACCAAGTGCTGACTCTGCTCACACGCCCCAGGAAAATGTGATCTGAAGCTCCCTCCGGAAATAAGTCCCCACCCACCTGCTCCTGCCAAGCCCCAGAGGCTGCAGAAAAAGAACTTGGGTCCTAGCCCCCACGTGGAGCGCCTCACCTGCAGGTACCTATTTCCAAATCCCCCAGGCTCCCCACAGCCCTCAGAATCAAACCCGAACTCCCCAGCACCGCGCCCTTCACAATGGGCCCCGCAGCACACCTCTTCAGCTATCTCAGCTGCCTTCCTGTGCTGTCACCGTGCGTCTCCCACCGAGGCCTGCCCGGGGAAAGGCCTCCTTCCCGCGCACTGTGGCACTATCACCGGCTCGAGCATCTTACTTCTTGCCCTGAGTTACCTGTTCACTTGTGAGCTCAAGGAAGGATGTGCCCCCTCCCCACTCTCATGGAGCATCATACAGATGCCCGAAAGAACCAGAAAAGGAGGAAGCTCGGCCCAGAGCATAGGAGACACTGGCCAGCAGGGAGGGGGCAGAGGGTGCTGGCAGGGGTCAGGGCTCTCAGACTGAGCACCATCCAGTTCCAGTGTCGAAAGGGCCGTGCCCAGCTCTGTGCTGTGTGTGTGCTGCTGTTTCAACACGATCGGAAGAGACAGCCCAGCTGCCGTTCCGGCACTCATCCTCGGCAGAGGCCCTCACTGGCTGGGAGACACAGCCCACCCAGCAGGCTCTGCTGATGCCCAGGGTCCCTCCAGGAGGGGTAGCTCCCCTAAGCCAAGGAGGGAGCACGCCTACCTGCAGAGATAAGTTCCCAGCAGGGTCCTGCGCTTCGAGAGGGCAGGTTGTCTGGGTGGGACCACCAAGCTTTCCTGGGCACCTTGCACACCCTCTGGTTCCCAGGGGACCCAGAGGCCCTGGACTCTAGCGTTGGTGCCAGGATAACGATGGGGCAGGGGCTGGGCATGACCATACCTCTCCAACCGAGTTGGACAAAGCTTGGACGATCTTCTCGTGGGCAGTGGCTACCACACTCTGCCCGTTGATCTCGATGATGCGGTGGCCGACACGGACCCCGCCTCGCTCCGCGATGCCCCCTCGCATGAGGCTGCAGATCTAAGCAGACACGTGGGTCAGGTCAGCACACAAGTTCCCGCCAGACCCGCCAGGCGCTCACTCCTGTCCCCGAAGATGGGAGAGGAGAAATTAATCATGCGGAGGGAGAAGCCCCACATGACAAAGGCTTTCTATGCATTATGTGATGTGACAAGTGCAGTCTGTGACTCGTGGGCAGGGAGGTTTATGATTTGAAATATATTTTAAAAAATATGTCAAGGGCCTCCCCTGGTGGCGCAGTGGTTGAGTGCTGGGCTGCAAAGCTGCCCGCAGCCTCTGCAGCGCCGGTTCGATCCCCAGCCACTGGGCAAGGGTCCCACATGGCGCGCAGACCTCTCCTGCCGCCCGCTGCTCCCCTCAGCAGTGTACTTCGGTCCTTCTGCCTGTTCTGCTCCCTGCTCTGGCTCTGGTGAATTCTCTCACCCTCCCGCGCTTCTGACTGTACCCAGTGCTTGTATAAATAAATCTTTAAAAAAAAATAAAATATGTCAAAACCATAGCATGTGGGAGAATCACGGGAACCTCACATCTCCCATGGTGGGAATCTGCCCCCACCCCACCGGTCATCCTGGAGTCTTTGTTCCTGTGTCAGGGTGTGTGGAGTGCTGGTGGTATATACAGTTAGAACACATTCTGGAAGATTCTCTGACAGTCATCCTCTGCTCCTCTCTCGAGCAAAGTCACTGATTGTACCTCAGGTGGAGGTGATGATCTCCAGTGCTGACAAATGGAGAGTCTGGGGATATACTATAACCCCCAACTTTATGAAATCCATCTGCTTGTCAAATCCCCTAAAGATCAAGGCATTAGAAGGCTGGACATCCAGGCGACCCCAGAGGGCCAGAGGAGAAGTTAAACCAGCTGCACCTGGATGGCTCTGCTGGACCCCTGGGGGCCCGTGCAAGGTATGGGAATGACAGCACCATGACAGGTGGCGTGTTGAAGCCCTGGAGAGGGCAGCATGTGCGTGCTCATACCTCACTACCCACACTGCCAACTGAGGGCAGACTCAGGCCCGTGAAACAGCCTGGTCCCCGGGAATGAGGCCTCCTGGGACCAGCCACACCCACCGCTGGAGGGCTCCCCTGTGTGCCCCCAACCCAGCACCTGAACCATGGGGCCCCTCTGCAGTGTGCTTAGCCCCCAAGAGCCCCTTCCCCAGCATCATCTCAGCAGTCCTGCCTGAGGGCTGTACACCAGCCATGTTTGAGGATGAGGAAGGTCAGGCCCAGAATCAGGTGGGAAAGGCCCAGGCTGGTAAGGCCCTGACCACCAGTGCCCAGGGGCCACCCCACATCATGTAAAGGGCTCAATGAATTCAATGGCCTTTGTGCCTCACACATCCTCAATCTCAAGTCGTTACTGCACAGCCACTGTCTTGGTGGTTTTTAATGCCATTTTAAGGGAGCCTCACACTTGACAAGGCAGGGAAGCAAGAACCAACCAAGGGTCTAAAGGTGATTCTGGTCGCGGCCCTGACAGGTCGCAGACAGGTCGCAGGCCCACAGGAGGCACAGGTGTGGGTGATGGAAGATGCTGGTCCGCCAGGCTTTTTCCTCTCTGGCTGTTCTTTTTCCTTCCACAGGGAGCCGCTCCGGTATCCAGACCATCTTCCATCTTGCCGTGAAGGCCCTCCCGCCTTCAGCAACAGACGCTGAGCATCTGAGCCATTTCTCACTAAACACTGGCGGGCCTGCTCAGTCAGCTGGCCTCTGATTTCCAGGGACCCTGCTGGGGGGCAGGGGACAGGAGCTCTCCCACCTTTCACAGGACCACTCCACCCTGTTGCCCCTCGAGACCTTTTGAAGGCTGAGTCAGCTCACTGGTACTGACCCCAGACTGGTCCTCCAACCAGTCACAAAACCACAAAACCAGACAGGGTTCCCATGTCACGCGTTTTGTGAGTTTTGCTTTCTCACAAACACAGGCCTTTCTAAACCGGCCACATGCCGGTGGCCCCTGAGTGGCGCCAGAAGCCTCACGGTCCCTCCCTTTCTGGAAGGAAGCACAGGTGCAGACTGCATCACAGCCACAGCCATGCTGCTCGGCCACCTGGACTCCTGCAGCAGAGAGGTCACAGCCCTGGAGCCCAGGCACCCCAGCCAGCCAGGGCTCAGCCCGAGATGGGCAGAGAAAAGAAACCGTGGACCCGTGGCCTCCCTTTTTCTGAAGGGGGAACACCCTGCCAGGCTGCCTAATGCTTTACAAAATCAGTTCCTCTCCCTCCCCAAGTGGTTTAAAGGCACTTTGAGTCCAATGTAACCAGCCCTTTGAAGAGTCTGAGCTGGGGCCTCAGGAAGACCAGGCCAGAGCCCAGGCCAGGCGTCAGGCAGGGCCAGCCTGCTCCTGCAAAGCTGGGACATTCCAGGAAGGTGACTTCTTGAATAAATCCCCAGTGGCAGCTTCCTATAGTTTTGGAGAGCAGACGGTGCTGAGGGAAAGCTATGAGCACCCTTTGGGGGGGCAGTGCTTTCTAGCAAGACATCCCCACAAGGCCCGGGGCCTCAGGGTGCTCTAACTTCATGGGTGCTCTGCTCAGGAGGAGGGAGGTTGTCTCCCAGGAGGAGACTTCTTGATTTCTCAAACTGTGTTGTGGGAAGAGAGAGCAAGGATCCACTTAGTATAGCGTTAACTGGGTCATCCAGGGCCTGTCTGCAAACGGATGCTTTGTACTCTGGGGGTAATGAAGCTGAAAATGGAAAAGCACTTGTGCAAGACCAACTCAGATGTCAGCAAACTTTTCCAGGGACTCGGGGGACTTGGCTGCGTGGCACAGCGTCAGCAAGGGGCACGCAGTCCCTGCAGTGGGAGAGGAGAGACTGATGCTGTCCACCCCAGAGCCATCATCAGGGCTCCATGCGCGTCTGATCACTCTGGGCCCTGTGGACAAACATGTCAGCCCCTGTGTTGCTCCCAGTAGCACCAAATCCATACGGGCACTCACCCCCTGACACGTTTGCACCCCAGAAAGCACCTGATGACCGGCAGCTGGTCTCGTGTCCAGCGCCCCCTCTGCAGTTTCCCAGCTGGGAGGCGGAGGGAAACCACTTCACCTTCCCGTGCTCATCCTGGTCTGTGATAACATCAAGCCCCAAGCGGACCGGCCTGGCAGACACTGGCTCCACGGGGACACCCCAGGTTTACGGGAAGAGCTTGCCCAGGCCGTGACCTTCATTTCCTGGTTCCCAGAACTGATAGGCAGATGCACCAGGCGGCCCAGGAGTACTTGAGATGATGAAACTAGACAGGCTGGGAAAGCTGACGTCGCGTCCCCGCGTTCACACGGCCCACCACGGCCGCGAGGGGGCAGCAGCCGGTGAACCACGGACACACCATAAATAAACCGTGTCTGTCTGTCCATACCACGGAATGTCGCTCCACTCAGGGGAAGGAAACCCGGCACGCTGCCCTGGGGATGAGCCTGAGACATCAGACGAGCCAGGCACAAACGACAGACACTGAGTCCCACTTCTGCAATGTGGGCCTGAGCAGCAGGTTCACAGAGAAGGGAGCTGGGGGGCTGGGGGGCTGGGAGGAGGGTGAGGGGAGCTGACGTTGAGTGGGAGTGGGGTTCCTGCTTTGAAGACGCCACAGCTCCAGAGACTGGCTGCAATGCGCTTCGTGCTGTGGACCCTTGGAAATGGCCACGATGGTAAATCTGATGCTAATTTATTTTACCACAATTAAGAAAAATGTCGTAGGAGAGAGTCAAGACTAAAAGGAAAGGCTGGGGGAGGGAGGCAGATGCCACAAGTAATGTAGCTTCTTAACCACACGCAGCTGCCCATGCTGGAGACAGGATGGGGCTGCACAAGCTCCAGAATGAGGCTTGTGGCCAGGTGGGGCACCAGAGGCAAAGGGGCACACGCTCCAAGTGTGCATGCGGGCACACACACACACACACACACACACTCATCTACACATGTGCGTACACATACATAACTGTGTACCCACACACTGACAACCGCAGAGGGTCCCCCTCGCCTCTCACATGGCAGCACCCAGACTTACTCAGAGTGCCCCTGTGCAGGGACAGATTTCATGCAGCTCCTCACCCTCCCTGTCACAGCCTGCCACCGGCCACGGGGCACATTTCTGTAGCCACCCTGGAAAAACGCAGTTCCTAGGGGGCTGACAAATGTCATCTCCTGGCCGCCCACGGTCACTGAAGGTGCTCCCCAGTCACAATCAGCCAGTTCCGAGGACATGGGCCACCCTGTGGCTGACCCAGGCCAGTGGAGCCAAGACTTTAGGTGGGGTCTGGTGAGGAGGTGGCCAGAAGTCTCAGAGAGAGAGCTATTACTGCAGGGAAGAGAGGGCACAAGGGCAGTCACCAGGTCAGCGCCCCTAGGTGAAGCTGGATGGACCAGAAGCTGAGACCCCAACCTGACCACGTTGTAGGGGATGACTCTCCTGTCCTCACAGCAAGCCTTTGACAGAGCAGCCGGTGCCCCAGGCCTCCTGAATCTGCTCTCAGACTCATTCCTTCATGAGGCCTGGCTACTGGGCAGAGCCCCTTGCACTCATGAGCCACTGTGGGTGACAGGCCACAGCCTCGGGCCGTGGGTATGCCCGGTCACAGGCGATAGTGGACAGCTGCTCAGCAGAGGTGCCTCTGATGGCCCCTTGGACAGCCATCCCTACACCCCACACCTGTCCACGGGCTCATGTGCTCACGGGCAGGCGCAGAGGAGGAGACCGCTTCATGCAGCCGCCAGCATCTCATTTCGAGGTTCCTGGGGAGCTGTATTGTAATAGGATCAAGCTACGCAGATTCATTTACTTCCTCTAAAACCCTCCTTCGTGCTCGCTGCACGAGCTGCATGTACCTGAAAGGAAGCCCCTGACGGCCACCTGAGCCCCCACCTCTCTGCCACCCCCAGCCCCCACCGTGCTGCTCCTCCTTCACAGAAGTGCCCTCAGGACCCCAGCTTTGCACCAGACCAGGGCCAGGCTGGCCAACTCCTGGGGCTGACACACTGTCCCAAACAGAAGTCCCAAAAGGAGTGCCGACAGCATGGTGGGCCCCTGTGCCTGGATGCAAGTGGGCACAGGTGCCTTTCTCCTCTGCAGAATATGGGCCCAGGTCACCCACCTTGGATGTCTCAGTGTACTTTATGGATTTTCTCAGTGAATTTTCATATCCACCATTTGAGGGGAGCCCAGAAAGGTTAAGTGACTTACCCAGAGTCACACAGCTAAGAAGGTGTGGCCAACACTGGCAAGATGCCCCCCACCCTTTGCCTCTATATCCTGGGCATCTGCTGGACCACTTTCCCCAGACTGTGCTCTGCGGGGTACATGAAAAGTTCCAGCTGGCCAATAGGAAGTGGCAGACACAGTGTCTCTGTCTTTCCTCAACTGCCATAAGACACAGAGCAGCCAGTGGGGCTGGGTCCACAAAAAACAGGTGAGGACCAGTCTGTGTCCCTGAGTGGTTCCATGTAATGAAGTCTCCTCCCATTGGACCATGACTCAACTCTTACTATGTGGCAATTTGGGGACTATTTGTTACAGCAGCAAGTGAGCCCTGACACAACAGGAACAGAAGTCCTGGAGGTCACACCCTTTGACTCTCTTGACTGCTTCACCAGACAGCAACAGGGGAAGTTTTGTCCCATTTGCAGATGCGTTTCTAGAATGTTCTCCCATTGGGATTCCTCTGGGGTGGACACACATTTTCCTCCTCACCTGATGCCCTTCCTACTCTCATGTCTTCTTCTTTGGCCTTTTAATACTCTCATAAAGACAGGTGCCCCTCTTCTGTGGTCACTTCCCTGCCCATTGAGAATGCTGCAGGAGGAATAACTAAAGAAATGGAAACCACACTAGTCAAACAGCGTCAAAGATAAGGCAAGAAGGGCCTCCTTGGTGGTGCAGGGGTTAAGTCTCAGCACTATCAAGCTATCACCAGCCACTGTGGCCTGAGTTTGATCCCTGGCCAGGAAGCTGACCCACATGGCACAGCAGACCTCTCCTGTCTCTCCCGCTGCTCCCCTCAGCAGTGTATTTCGTCAGTCTGCCTGTTCTGTTCCCCACTCTCTCTCTGGTGAATCCTCTCACCCTCCACACCTCTGGCCTATACTCCCGTTCTTGTATGCATAAATAAATAAAAATCTTTTAAAGAGAGAGAGAGAGAGAGAGAGAGAGAGCACACACGCAAGAATGCTGGACTAAAGAGCTTGACCTGAGAAACAGGTACCATAATTTGGCCAACGCTCACTCAAGCTCAACATCTCCTCTTTCAGGAAGCCCTCCTGCCTCCTCAGTGTCCCCACAAATGGTTCTGAATGGGAGAGTGAATAAATGAATGAATGAATGAAAAATGAGTGAGTGGGTGTCTGCTCCCAGTGGGTCTGATACTGCCTTTGGCTATGTGTGTCCACACGCATGTGGCCAGTTTGTAAACTCCTGTGTGTCCAGTGGGTGAGAAAGTCTCCCTCCTCCTCTCAAAGCAGCTGTTTGCAGAGAAGAGTCAGTGCAGAGACAAGGGTGCCTGAGGAAATGGGGGGCATTCCTTGGCCAGGCGCTGGTCCTCCCTCCCTGCCCAGGCTGCTGGTAGCTGGGCTCACTGTCCAGGGTGAGCTATCAGGGCACTATCAGGGCAGCTATCAGGGCAGCTCCAGAGGTAGCAGGGCAGCTCCAGAGGTAGCAGGGGAGGGGAGGGGGGTAGCTACCACCCCAGCTCCCTGTGCCCAGGCCGCCCACACAGAGGGCAGGGATGACAGACTCACGATTCCATTTTGAACACTGAAGCCAAGCTGGTACTTGAGGTCGGGCCGCTTGATGAGGACGGTGGTGACCGGCGGGCAGCTGACAATGTTGAGTTTCACCTGCGTCTGGTTCTTCAGACCCTGCAGGGCACGGGGATGGGAGTCACAGGCCAGTGCAGCCTCGCAGGCCCAGGCTGAGGACCTGGCTGCCTCCTGCTGGCCTGAGTGTCCCCGTGTGAGGGGCAAACGCAGTCAGTGAGCCCGCAGCCCAGGAGCCAAGGCCTCAGAGGGTGCATCCAGGCCAATGGAGCCCTCCGGTGCTGCAGACTGAGGCAGCTTCCACATCTGTCTATCAGCCTCAGCACATCAGAGAGATGTTCAGCGGGGCTGGTCGAAGGGCTGGCTCAAGGGGCTTTCTGGCCTGAGGTGTGCCCTTCTAACACTGAGAGAAGGAGGGAGGCATGACCACACAGGCTGTGGAGAGACCGCACACTGTCCCCAGCAGGCAACCAGAGGTGCTGTGGTGCTGAGGCCTCTGGGGTGGCAGGTCTGCTCTTCCTGCCCCAGGCCTCGACCCACCCAGAATGGTCAGATGGGAAGGCCCTGGTCCCTTGTGCTTGTGTCCTTTCTGCCTGAGCCCCTCCAGGGACAGCTCAGCATCCCTGCCAAAGCCGCAGGCTCATGGGCAGAAGGTCAGAGCAGCCACCTGGCTGCCACATCCACAGAGAGTGCCCAACCCTCCTAGGGCCCCTGGGGCGGAGGACTTTCGTGCAACCCGGGGAATGTCCCAAGTCAATGGGGACAAGTTGGACCCTGCATCTATGCGTCCTCGGCCCTCGCCTGAGGTCAATGTGGCTCAGCATTGGGCAAAGTGAAACCAAAATTGCTCCTGGGCCCTGGAACGGTCTGGGACGTTGCTGGCGTTAGCCTGTGCTTATAGTTTGGGTTGACCTCAGCTTCCTTGTGGGGTTAGGGAGATTAGGAGGAGGGAGGGGTCCTGTGCATCCACCTTGATGATGCCCTGGCAGGTGGCGAGGGGCAGCCCCACCAGGCTGGTGCCATTGATAGACATGATCTGGTCCCCAATGCTCAGCTTTCCCGAGCGGGCGGCTGGGCCACCGTTCATCATGTTGGCCAGGATCACAGTGGGCAGGATGGAGCCCCAGCCCGACTCCACCACCACCACGCCCAGGATCTCGCCCTTGTGCTTCTCCAGCTGCAGCTGCAAAGAAATGGCAGAGTCATAGGGACAACAGCCTTGATCTACTCTGGCTCCCCACTCCTCCTGGGGCCCACCCAACCCCAACTGTCCTGGAGCACACACCACCTCTTCTCCTACACCAATATTAACTCCCCGTCCCCAGCTCGGATCCAGAGTCTTGGCTCCTGCTCCTCCACCCCCCAAGCCCACCAAGGCCAGAGGCATGTTCTCAGACTCCAGGACTCATCCCCTGCCCCCACAAGTTTTGTTCCTGTCTAGAAAAGTCCTAGTTTCTCTCCACCTCAAGGGCCACTCTCTCAGAAAGCTGCTTGTTACTAACTCTGCAGGAAGCCTGGGTCGTTTATTCATTCAACGATCAATCACACTCACTCACTTAACTAGCAGCAAGGGTCACTCATCATTCATTCATGCAGTAGGAGTCAGGGTCATTCATTCATTTGCTCATTCAACCAACAATCAGGATCATTCTTTCACTCATTTAATAGGCAGCCAGGGCAACTCATTCAACAAGTAGTTAGGTTCATTCATTTACTCATTCATAAGCAGACCAAATTATTCATTCATTCAGCAAGAGTCAGTCATTCTTTCACGCATTTCTTCATTCAACAAACAAGCCAGGCCATTCATTCACCATTTAACAAGTAGCCAAGGTCATCCATGTAACAAGTAGTTAGCATCACGCATTCATTCACAAGTAGAATCATTCATTCATTCACTCATTTATTCAAGAGCAGTCAGAACAGTGGTCCTCCCGGGGACTTGCTCCTCTGTCTTCGAACTCTCTAAAGGCCCCTGAGAAGACCCACTGGGCCTGCTGGGCCTGCACTACCCGCAGCTTTGAAACTCCCCCAGGCAGAGCACCAAGTTTCCATCTTCGAGAAGCCTCCTGCATACTTTTCAGAAACAGCTCCTGGGTGCCGAGTGCCAGCCGAAGATAATAGCAACATTAAAAGGCACATTTTCAAGGTCATTAAGACTGATTCTAATCAGCCTCTTTGCTACAACAGCGTCTCATTTCACACACAAGCGCTCAGCTCCCAAGTGAGAAGGAGATGGATATTCCGGGTGCACCTCCCTGTGCCTGCTGGGGAGACACTGACTGTCGAGAGCCCTATGCAGGAGACCTGAGCTGGGAAGCACCAGGCGCCCCTGGCAGAGGTCGGCCAGGGGAGCTCCTGGAGAGAGGGCCGCTCACCTCCTTGCAGTTCTCGGAGTTTGAGAAGTGGATGAGGTCATCATTGTACATCTCCTGGGTGTTGATGATGTCGCTGTACTCCTTCTGGCTCAGGTCTTCGGGGTTGATGCCATTGGCTCTCAGGAACTCCTGGTAGGCCACGCTGAAGGCCTGGCCAATGGACTGGGCGATCAGCTGGGCCTGTGGGGCAGCATGGGGGCATCAGAGACAAGCATGGAGGCACGACTGCATGGGCCCAAGAGGAGGGGCCGCTGCAGGCTTCGTGCAGAACATGCACATCAACCGGGCCCTTGCTGAGATTTATTTATTTATTTACCCCTTTTATTATTATTTTTTAAATTTTATATGTTTTTTACATCATTTTTCATTTTTGCACGATGTATGCATTTTCATCTTGGGTATGTTCCCCATACAATTCCCCCCCCACCCCCCACTGCTTTGATCCCAACAACTCAAATGCCCAAAAATAGATGACTGGATCAAGAAGATGTGGTACATATACACCATGGAATGTTACTCAGCAATCAGAAAAGATAAACTTATGCCATTTGTAGCAACATGGATGGTGCTGGAAGGGATCATGCTCAGCAAAATAAGCCAGAAAGAAAAAGAAAAATACCGGATGGTCTCACTCATAGCAGGAATTTAGAAAACCTTGCTGAGATTTAAAAGTACAAGGGAGCAATTCCGGGCCCTCATCTGGTGAGAGCTGTCCCCCATCACCCCACTGGGAGCCCCAGGGGTGTGAACCTTCCTGCTGTCCAGTACCTGCCAGGGCCCCCACCTGAGCTGCTGAACTCCCAGACATTCCAGAGCAATGCACAGTTTCAAATAGTCTGGGACGACTGTGAATATCATATTTCTGTTGCTGCCACGGGTGACTATAATGTATTTTCTTTCCACTCATCTTATTCCAAAAATAGATCTGAGGTGCATTCTAGGGGATGCGTCACAGGGCTGGTGTTGTTGTCCATCCAGCTGAACAGGGAAGGCAGGCAGGGCTCAGCTGCGCTTGTGGGGAGGTGTGGCTGGGCCAAGCTGGGCCACTGAGAAGCAGGGGACCTTGGGGACATCTGCAATGACCCCTCTGTGGATGTTACTGAACCTCTCACACTGCAGAGGCCTGACATTGCACAATTTCTTGCCGGTGTGCAGCAGGGACAGTGACAGGCGAGACCTACAGACTGGCACCCGAGGTCTGGGAGCTCCAGGGCGCTGGGCCATTTCAGCACACAGCCAGGCTGCGGGAGCCCAGCTCTGCTCTGCCCCCTGCTCCCAACCGCCTACCTCCCCGACTGCCATCAAGGGGACCTCTGCATGTGCGCCCTCAGCAAACCAAGAAAACAGGTGAGAACCAGGACTTTCACTTAAAAGCCTGTATCTCTTTCTCCCTCTGCACCTGGCCTGAGTTATGTGCTTCACAAAATGGCGAGGCTAGATAATAAAGGCAGAGCAGGGGCAACTTCTGAAATATGAATCGGCTCTAGATGGCATTGCCCTCCCAAATTGGGCCCTGAGCAGTCTACAGGAAGGGTGAGCACATTTGCTCAACAGGAGCAAGTTCCCACAGCCAAGTTCGGAGCTCGGCAACACCAGCAGAGGTGCCCGATGCCACCAGGTGGCGCTGCCAGCCTGGACGCGGTGGAGCTGGACCAGCAGGAGCCCAGGGGGTGCTGGTCTGAGAGCAACACCAAGGCTCTGGCCAAAGGTGGGGGTCTGGGCTTCCAAGGGAAAAACGGGCTAACAGCCTCCTGCAGGTGGGCAGGGAAGGGGGGAGCTGCCATGAGCCAGCAGGACTCTGCACCAGCTTCTCACCTATGTGGCTCATCACCCCCAAAGGGCTAAGCTCATTACACAGAAGGGAACCCGAGGCTCAGAGAGGACCACTCCTGACTTTTAGGTTGCCTCCCATTTTCTCCCGGGTGTTTCACTCTGCTTTCACCAGGCCCTCAGAGCTCCCCTTCCCCAGCTGCCCCCCTCGAGGGAGCCACCATCGGGTCCATTCTCTGGGCAACTGCCCTGTGACGCCCTCACACCCTGCCAGGATGGGCCCTTCCTTCCCGCCAAGGGCCACATAGGGCCCCACTCAGTCTGCCTCGTGCTCAGCCTCATCTTTCAACAGGGGACACCGAGGCCAGGGCAGCACCCACCCACTGGAACCCTCTGTCCACTGCCACCTGCCGTAGCCGCTCCTCACACCCCTCCTGCTCCTTTGACACTCCTGCACCTTCCGCCACTTGGCCTGCTTCTCGCCTGACCTGCCGCCACTTACTGCCCTTCTCAAGGGCCCATGTCCCCCACCCGGGTCTTGAAGTCCCCCTCAAGCCCGCAGCCCCACAGAAATGCCCACTGAGGGTCCACAGGCGTCTGGTACAGTGGAAGGACGAGTGTGGGCACCAGGGGGCCTGTGTTTACGTTCCCGCTATGGACGTGCCACCGCTTCAGAGCAGTTCAGCTGATTTCAGCTTCTCAGCAAAAAGACTGCTGCCCTCCCACCCCCTGCCCCCCGCTACCCTGTCTTCAGACGTGACAATTGGGGACACTTCCCCGTAGACTCAGGTCCCCGAGACACCCTCAAGATCATAAGTGGACAAAAACACTCTTTCTGATTGTCCTCAGAGCGTCACGGAGAAGAGACTCTGCAAGTGTCATGGAGAAGAGACCATTTTTGTGACTTCTACTCTGGCAGAGCCATAGGAGTGGCCCAGCAGCTGCTCCCGGTGGTCCTGGGTGAGACTGACCGCAGGGGGGCAGCAGAGAGACACCCCTAAGCTCCCTCCCTCTGCCAGGAGCATTTCCCCCATCCAGCTGAGAAAGATGCTCTCACCCCATTCAAGAAAAAAAGTAAAAAGGTTTCTACAGGCTCTTAGAGAGCCTCGGGCTTTCTAAACTTCAGAATTATTGGTTAAATAACTGTTATGAGGTGAAATGGCCACAAAAAAAAGTAAACTGGCCGGGCCTGTGAAAATACAGGCAACAGAAAAGCCAATCAAGGATGCCTTCATTTTCGGAGAGAAAAAGTTTAAAGGATCTCTTCAGAAAGACAGTCCTCTAGTACAGCTGACTGTGGGCCTCCCTGGTGGCACAGGCGGTTGAGAGCTGCACTGTGAAGCTGTCCGCAGCCTCTGCAGTGCAGGTTCGATCCCGGCAGGCTGGTGAGAATCCCACATGGCACAGCAGACCTCTCCTCGCACCCGCTGCTCCCCTCAGCAGTGTATTTCATCAGTCTGTCTGTTCTGCTCCCCACCCTGTCTCTGGGGAATCCTCTCACCCTCCCGCACCTCTGGCCTAGACCCCGGTTCTTGTATAAAAATAAATAAATCTTAAAAAAACAAGCAGAGCTGACTGTCGTAAAGTATACATTTTTACAGTAGAATATATACATGGACCCAATTATGGACTCAACTGACAGACAGCACCTGAAGAGCTCGCTTCATGACGAGAAATAAAGCGTGCTCATCGTCCCTGCAAACCCGGAGTCTGCGGGAACGCAGAGTGCCCGGCCCTGGAACCTGCGGCCGAGGCGGGGTCTGGGGCCCGTGCCTCTACTTACATCCTCAGATTCGAACACGTGGCAGATCATTTTATACTGCTTCTTCCCCTCCTGCGCCCCGGGGGTGGTCTCGATGCAATCCTGGGAGGCTGACCGGGGCATGCGGCGCCTGGCCATCAGCACCACGATGTTCCCAATGTCGGCAATGTAGGAGATGGTCCGCAGGGCGTGGTCCATCATGGTTTCCTGGCAGGAGGAGACAGATGGTCCACATCAGGGAACATCATGGGGACAACTCAGCAGGAAACCCTGGCATTCTGGGTTTCTCAGACTCGACCCTTTGACATTTGTGGGGGGATCACACTTTATAGTGAGAGATTATCCTGCACACTGTGGGGGGGAGGGGGGTGAGCTGCATCCCAGGCTCCACCCACTCAGTGCCAGGAGCACCTTCCCGAGCCGTGACAACTGAATCTATCTGAAAATATTTCCAGATTATCTCCCGGGGAACTAAGTCGCCCCATGAAGAAGCACGGGTCTAGCAAGCAGAGCATCTGAGGGTGATGATTTACAATCAGGTGAATCTGCCTTCACATCAGCCCCAGCTTCCAAAGGGTGCTGTCGGGGAGCTCAGTCCCTGTGGGAGGAAGAGCAGGGAAGCTGCCATGTGGGAAAGCTCTGACCCTGCTGATCACAGGCTCCAGACAAGGGTCCCCTCCCTGCAAGGCGTGCTCCCCCACTCAGGTCCAAGCGTGGCCTGGCCCACATGCCCCTGCAGAGCAGAAGAAGGCGGTCAAAGTCAATGTTTCCCACGATAAGTTCTCCCTCAGGGAGCCCAAGCAGCCTGGGTCCCGGTCAGGGGCCACAGGAGGCCGTCGGCTGACACTGAACCAGGGGGTCCCGGCCATTCAGTCCCGCGGCCCCTGCAGGCCCATGATTCTTGATGGCTTTTGTTCTCTGACAGGAATCTCCACCGAGCATCTTGCCCGCGACCCCTAGCCAGGCAGGCTGCACACAAAGGCTCTGAGAAACTAATCAGTTGGTCTTTTATGCCTTTGTTCTCTTTCCACAAAAGAAAATCGGGTGTTTCTGCGACCTCTGAAGCCCTTTTCTTCCTCCCAGAATCCATTTTTTTTTTGCAGTGGATATTGCTCCACATTTGTCATCTCGGGCTGATTTGCCTCCTGGCCCAGGTTGTGGGGGTGCTTTACCCTCCAAAAGCTACTGTTTGTGGTGGGACACTGGAAAGGGAAACTTGGGGTGACTCCAGCTTCTTCTGATCTCCAGAATCATCCCCACGTGTCAGACACATTCTCTCCCCCAATTCCCAGCTCATGGCCGTGGCAGAACCACCTTCCTCTCAGACAGATGCTGGTTACCACATACCTGACCTCAAACTGTGCTGTAAAGCAACAGTACAAAAAAAAACAAATACAGAATTGAGCAAACACAGATACATGGGTCAGTGGGACAGAGTGAAACGCTCAGAAATTAATCCACACACACACCAGCACCTAACCTGCGATAAAGATGCTCTGACCGCAACATGGGACAGGACAATCTCGTCAACAAAGGGTGCTGGGAATCTGGCCACCCACCCACACGGCATCCTCTCTCCTGCCCTGACTCTTCCTCCTCAGCCTCCAGTCCCTCCCCTCTGTTCCCACTCTTCTCTGTCAAATTTTTTTTAATTTTTCAGTCAAACCAATTTCCTGCCCTAGCTCTCTTTAAGTGTATCCCAGACAGTACCCAGAACAAGCTGACAAATGGCCTGAGAAGCCACCGAACCCTCAGCCAGGCCAGATCGCGACTTCTAGAGCCTTCCTGACCCACCTTCCCAGCCCTTGTTCTCCTCACTTCTGCTCTAGTCCAACTCCGAGGGCGACCACAGGCCATGCACATCAGTGCTTGGTTAGTTTATTTTTAGGGAGTGACATCCCACCCCACCCACCTCCACGAATCCACCTTCTCTCTCCCGCAGGCCGGCCCCGGGTTCCAGGTGGTTCGGACGGGAACCTGGTCACGCTACATCAGGCTGCCAGCATTTCTCCCGAGAGGGCAGGGAGCCAGGTGTGTCTCTTCTACCCAGCTAGAGAGTGGGGACCTCGGTCACGGGCCACATACTCTCCTCCCAGCAGCCCTGACACCCCGCAACTTAGCAGGGCCTTGGAATTGGCCAGGAAGTCGGAGAAATGGCTTCTGCACCAAGCAGCTGTTCCCCAGCAAGACAAGTCAGCATCGTTTCCATCAAGGAACGAGAGCACAGCAGATTCACTTCCCAACGGGGAGCACGCACACCCCGAGATCTCCCCCCGACCCTAGACCTGTCATCCCTCTCTATGTGAGGGGTTCGTGCTCAGCTCACACGGCTGATGGGGGAAGCAGCCCGGCAGCGGGGAGGGGTGAGCAGACTGACATGGTGGCCTCTCCTGAAGGAAGACCCCACTCCCCAAACCCCTGACAACCCACCCGGGCCCCGGGAACCCCGCTGTGTGATGCATGAAGGCTGGGAGGGAAGGCAATGAAGAACAAAGAGAGACAAAGACTCGCAGCAGCGGCCCCGCCAGCAGCCCAGCTGCCAGATGCCAAGTGGAGAGAGATCCTTCAGCGCTGCTCAGAACCAGGCTGCCAAGGGGCCGGGACCAGGGTAAAGCAAGACAAAGGAAAAAGGCTTCTACTGTGGCCACAGGAAGGACCTTGACCTCGGTGCCTCCCCTGGGGGCTGCTCACAGAACTCCAACTCGTCTCGCGCTGCCTGGACATCAGGACTAGGACGCTATCCACGTCCTGCCCCTTCTCGGCCTGGCTCAGTTTGCAGACCTCGCAGCAGTGTACCTGGACCCCAGCGTTCTCTGCCTTCTGCACTATGCCTGGTGCCCTCAAACCCTAGGGAGCATCCTGTCCAGCTCAGATTCAAATTAGTACTAGCAGGTCTCTGGGGGTGGCCTGAGCAGAATGAAAACCTGGGGTGTCCTGCTCTGTGATTCCAGAATATTCCTGTCAACAGAGCCTGGTGGGTCATGGGGACCTCCAGCAGCTACAAGGGTAGGCGTTCACAGCCCCTAGGGTGGCACTTGTGGGGGGAGGGTCCAGCCAGCCCTCAGCGATGTGCAGGGACAAAGAATGGCAGAGAAGGACAAGAGGAGAGGAACCCTTTGCTTCCCAAGTGGCAGAAGAACCCCCTCCTGGAGGAGACGGGAAGATGCCCTGGAAGTCCATGGTCACAGCCTGGACTCTGGGGAAGGGCGTGGGCCCCGACATCAAGAAGCAGAGCTGTCCAGTAATTCCTGTGTGCGGTGTGAGGCAGTGGTCTGGCTTCATTTTCCTATGGCTGCCCAGCATCCCTGCACCATTTGCTGAAGAGACTCTTTCTTCACTGGTTGCTCTTGCCTACTCTGTCAGAAATTGACTTTCTATGTATGCATGCGTTTATTTCTGGGCCCTCAATTCTATTCCATCGTCCGGGCGCTTGTTTTTATTCCGATGCCATAGTGTTTTGATTACTGTCACTTTGTAATGTAGATGTCAGGGAGCATGAGGCCCCTTTCTTCTTCTTCTTAGTTCTCAGGATCAGTGGGTTCTTTGGGGTCTTCTGTAGTCCCAGACAGAGTTTAGTTTGTTTTTCTATTTCTTTGAAAACTGCCATGCAATTTTGATAGGGATGGCACTGAACCTGTGTATTACTTTGGCCATTGGCCATTTTAACAAGGTTTGTTCTTCTGATCCATGAGCACACAGTCTCTTCCCATTTCTTTGTATTATTGTCTCTTTCTTTGTAAATTGGCTTATAGCTTCCAGTGTCTAGGTCTTTCACTGCCTTTGTTACATTTATTCCCAGTATCTTATAGTTTTTAACGAAAAAAGAAAGCAATCAAGCAGGGCCGCAGGGAGAGTGCAATCAAAGAGCTGATGGCACAGTTAAAATTCTGGGGTGGCCCTGCCGGCGTAGGATTGGGGTCCTGCCCCTGCCTCCGTGGGGTGGGCAGCAGCCCCATTGTGACGTGAATGTGACACTTTCGGCCGGCACAACAAGGAAATCCACCCCAGCTAAGGGGTCTATCTTGAGACAGCCAATAAAAGGACATTGCAACCTCAGGCTTTGTCCACTTTTGGGAACAGCCCCCTTGTTCTGATTATGACTTTCACTTTCACAGGCCCCATTTTCTATGGTCAGCTGAGGACAAGACTGGTTCACTGGCTTCCAACGATGTTGTCCAGTTCTGTTCATCGTGATGACACCCCAGTACCCACAGTACCCAGGTGTTGACTGTGCCATTCCCACTACGAGGAACCAAGGTGACTAAAAAATAGCTTATTCCAGGCCTGGATCAGGGGACTGCAAGCAGAGTCCAGAACACCATATGTCTCAGGAAGCGAGGGCACATTCAAAGACTAAAAGGACAGCATCCAAGTGATACAGGACCCAGTGTGAAGGTCACTGGCTAAACCTAGGACAGTTTGAGCACCAAAAAGAACAACTGGTAATAGATTATAACATAAATTGAAAAAAAAAAAAGAAGTCGTGATTCCACAGTGGCAAAACAGAGAGAAACTAAAGCTCTTCATTATAGAAGAATTCAGATAATGAAAGTAGAACACGTGAGATAATTAGAAAATCGCCATTTTGCACTTAAGCCAACTCAGGCAAGATCACCACTGCATGCGAACACCACCAGCCACGGCATGGTGGGGAAGAGGGCACCCACATATCCACAGAGTCCCATAGGTTACTTGCCAAAGACACGAAGCTAAGGGGCCTGTACACAGGCATCTGGCCGCCTCATCCAGCCCCAGCGTGAGCGGGGCCCTTCCGCTTACCTCGCAGGCAGCAGCACTGCCTGGTTCCCAGGACCCCTGCCCCCCCTCACTGCCCCTGGCCTCCCACCCCCCTCTCTCAGCCTCAGCTCACAGTCCTTTATATCTTGAACAGGGCACTTTCTCTCATGCATCTGGGTCCCTGTCTTCCTACAACAGCAGGTGCATGCAGATTCAGGCACAGAAAGGGCGAGAATAGTGGTCGGCCACCAGCTGGCCCCAGCACACGGTTCACAGGTAGAAAAGCCTCAAACACCTGCTCACTGGGAAACCACCAAGCTCAGGGCTATGAGGGGCCCTGGGACTTCCACCCTCCAGCTGGGTTTCCCAGGCCTGGCACGCGGAGATTTCAGGAAGGCCATTCTAGAATCCTGGCTGGTAAGCACACAACTCCCGACCCCCACCCCTTCTCCCCTCCGCTTTTGTCTATTTAATCCCAGCTGTAGTTGCACCCCTGTCACCCCTGGTGGCTTTGCTCCCCCAAGCCTGGCGCTGCTGGACCTCCCCACCAGTTCACTCCACACCCACTCAGGACCCAGGCTGCTGAGCAACGGCCCTGGGGACAGCGGTTCAGCCACACAGAGGAAAGTTCTGCAGGAGACCATGTGCTGCGCCAGCACCCGAGCGGGAAGTCAGGAGTTGGTTGACCTGGTTTTAAACAACGGTGTCTAAATGCTTACCTGCGTGTCGGCATTTAACACCTTGATCCTCTGGGTAGAGATGAACAGGTCCACTTCAGTCAGAGTCTGGGCGTCCCCCTCCGAATTCTAAGAAAGGACAGTGGATGCTGTTACAAATCAGAAAAACTAACTTGAACAAAGGCTTGACAATTTTACTAATGATCCCGGGAGCCCCTAGAGGGAAATGCTACTCCAGCACGGAGCAGCCATTGGAAACCTAAATGCAGGCGCTTTGCAGCGCCAGCCGGAGCCAAGTGTGTTCTGAAGGCAGTTTGCACGGGGTATAGAGAGGGAGGGAGGGCTTCCGGCTTCCGGGAGGGCTGAGCACGAAGGGGGGCTGGACGCCTGGGGTCTCCAGTCACAGCGTCCGACATGCAGCCCCTCCACCCGTAAAAATCGCGCCTGCCTGCCAACCCTTGCCGAACTCAAGAAGGCAAAGGGTCTGTGTGATCGGGCAATGTTTCTTGGATTTGGGATTCCAAGTAACCCTGGTAAATGGGGAAGAAATTTCCAAAGAAGGTGGATTAGACCATCAGCGTTTTCTACTGGTTTAAACAGTAACAGACATGTCGACCTCCCCCGGGCCCCTGAAATATTGGTCTCTGACTGTCCCCTTGCTTCCTGAAGGGGAGTTAAGACCTCAGCTGCTATGTAAGACAGAAGCACAGAAGCCAAAAGAAGCTGTCATGTTCATCGTATGCCATCAGTTAGGTGCACATGGAATGTTCTGGAAGCTAAGTGAACTAGGCAGGCTCTGCCCCAAACCAGGGCAGTCTTTCATTGGTTTCCACATCTGCGGGAAACCTAATTACTTCTGCACAGTGGTAATGAAATAAATACAAACCCCTCTGGTTTGCCCACTGAGGTAAATAAAATCTCTGTGGTCACTCAGGAGCCTACATGGTCTCGCTTCTATTTCAAAAGAGCAGAAACCGTGATTTAACTGCTCACCAGAAAATTTGGAATCAAAAACTCCCCTGCTGACAATTCTATGAGAATTGTGAGCAGCAAAGAGATCCCATATTGTAGTGATAAATGTATATTTTCACCCAGTTCTTGAGGGGGAAGGTCTTTTGGATTCTGGGCCTCCACGGGGTGACACTGCTTTTAACTGATGGTAAAGAGAGTCCAGAATGACGCCGTTGAAAATCACCTGCAGGACTGAGGAGGAATTACCTTTTCCATATTTTTTAAAGTTGGGTGATAATTGTACATGCCTGTGCTTGGGAAGGTTATAGTCTAGGAATCTTGCTCAAAACCTTCTTGCTGAAAAGTAGTTCAGAAAAGTTGCTAACTTGGTTTGAGGGATGATTTGAGGAAACTTAAGCAACTGACAGATTTAATGGAAGAAGAGGGTCAGACTTGAGCTGACCTGGCTCAAACTGGGGGTAAAAGATGAAGCTGAAACCTGACCGAAAACAGGGAAGGCGAGAGATCCCCAGCCCCCGCCTCGAGCTCCCCCTGGAGGAAGGGAGAGTAAAAACAGCTGGATTCTACAGAGAAGCAGCAGACACAATATGGCCTGCTGCACATCTGTGGGTAGGCCCTACAGCCACCGCTGAGCCTGTGGGGGTGGCTCTCTGCTGGACAAAGAGCAAATGTCACAGTGGAGATGTCTCACTGCAGGAGGAAGGAAGCCCCCAGACAGGGTCCTTTGGCCACATCGCCAGGAAGTGGCATTCCGGGGGATGGAAGACTAAATCTCTTGCTGTTCAAACTACAGGCCAGCATCAAGTGGGTGGCCTCTGATAGGGAACATTTGATTTTCCCTGTATCAGGAAGTGAATTATAAAATCCCCAGCATTGACTAAGTGACCGAGCTGACCAACCAGTGACTGAAGAAGGTCACCCCAATGTTTTAAAGTCACCTCATGCTTCAGAAATTCTTTACAACAGAGCAAGCATCTCCTGGGCAAACTGAACTGCTCATCATCCTGCTCTGGTAAATTAAACTTAATGAGTCTTTAAATATCAGAACAATTTAACTAATGCTGTACAGGAGGCCTAGGCACTAAATGCCTCACACGGTCATCTCAAATGCCACATTTTAAAACATCTGAGTAAAACAGTAACAGCACGGCCTCCACCATGCACTAGCACACAAAATCTAACAGAAAACGGGTGACGAGGAAATGCTTCCATAAGTGGGCGATTAAAGAAATAAAAGAAGCTTCTACGATTTCATTCAAAATCTAATATTTACCTACCTAGGGAAGAGGGGAAATCGTTGGTTACAGGGTTTGCACATCCCCTGCCCCCACCCCTCATGCCCAGGACACGCTCCAAACACGCGTGCACACAAACACACACACAGTCCCACACAAACACACTGTCCTACACACCGCTTTTTTCTTGATTTTAGCCGCCTTCTGCATCCTCTGAGCAGCATGGAAGAGAAAAGGAAGGCAGGTGGGTCAAAGAGAACATGCGAGCAGGTTATTTCAGACTTGGGCCCAACACCATCTCCCAGGAGCGGAACTATTAGGGGGAAAGGATGACCTGAGCAAACTCCACACAGGCTTTGTGGGCTCCACGCCCACTCCAGCCCAAAGCCATCAAGACTCTGGGAATGACAAATCCTATCATCACCGAAGGGAAGGTTGCTCGAACCTGAAGGTGGGATTAAGCAGCCAGGTCTGGTTTAAAACCAGACATGTGGGCCTTGTGGGGGGTGGGGTCTCTCTCTTGGCCTCAGCTCTTGGCTCTTCGCCAGCTCTCAACGTGCCATTGGGATTGCAGATCAGCGGAACTGGTAGGATGCATTCACGAATTTATCTCCCTCTTTTCTCTCTGAGTTATTCATTTCTTCATTTTCCCCGTCTTTGTTGTGTGTGTGCCTGCAGTTGAGTATTAATAAGTCCCTCTTAAGCACATGGGTGAGGACCCACAGTCAGGCAACTCATTTCATGTTGGGGTTGCCCTGTAACAGGACCAGGAGCCCCATGGGAGCTCTGCCGGGAGCGCTGGGCAGCCACCACCTCGGGGAGCACACAGGTTCATCAAGACAAGCCCACAGGAGCCCTGGGGTGCTGGGAATGACTGACGTGAGAGCACCCCTAAGGATGCCAGAGCCACAGTCCAACAGCAGAAGAGCGTCAGACTCCAGGGAGGAGGAGCAGGCCCGGGTCAGTGAGCGGTGAGGACAGAGGAGGGGCTGACATGGTTGTTCACCCCACAGGGTCAGCAGCAGCCACAGACCCACTATTTCTGAGAGAGGCACTGCCCCAGGACATCCTGCCCTTTCCTCCTGACCCTGTTAGCTTTGTTGAATCGGTCCCACCATTCAAAACCAGCTGGCCCGACATGCACGCGGAGGTTATGAAGTCAGTAAAACATAGTAGCCCCCCTTCACCCACAGCTGGGGTTTCTGTTACCTGCAGTCAACAGCCATCCGAAAATATTAACACGGTGTCTTGAGAGAGAGGCCACATAACTCTGATTACGGTATATTTTTATAATTGTTCTACTTTATTATTATTGTTGTTCATCTCTTACTGTCTCTAATTTATAAATTAGACTTTTTCAGAGGTCCAGGGATAGGAAAAAGCTTAGTATATATATATATGGGGTTCAGTAATCTCAGGTATCCATCGGGGGTCTTGGATCATCTCCCCCAAACTTAAGGGGGACTACTGTATATGAGTCTCTTTTTCCTCTTCTGCAATCATTCTGAACAAAGCTGAGGATACACAGACTGTTGAACGGGGATCTGGTGTTCCCTGCAAACATGTTTCATGCCTGGAAAGCTTCGGAACCGTCCTCTTTGAAGTCACCTTTCTGAGTGGCGAGTGATAGCCCCTCATTAAGGAGCTGCTGCCTCTGTGCCGCCAGCCCCCGCCCGGATCTTCTATCCAAGGCCAAAGTCTCCCTCAGCCTCACCGGGCACCTCGGGCGCCCCTGCCCTCCATGCCAAGGGCCATTCGGTCAGAGCTAGACAGGGTGCTGTGCTGGAACCCCTCCTCCCGCTCCAATGCTCCCCAAAGTGAGTCCTGACTCCACCCCTACCTTGACCCGGCTGACGGCCTCCTGCGCTTGCATCATTCTGATGTTTTTGGAAGGGTTCCGTTCTGAGAGCAGCTGGGTGGACCCCAGGTAGTTGGCAGCAAAGATGATCCCGTCAATGAGGTCCTCGGGTTCACAGGGCCCTGGAACTGAAGGCGACACCGTTACGTCTCCCTAGAGGACAAAGGGCCTGCGGGTCTCACCAGGCATGAGGAAGGTGGCAGTGGGCACAGGGTCCAAAGAGAAGGGCTGAAGCATCGCCTGTCTGCAGCCTGTGGAGGGGGCCAGTCGATGTCCCCCCCACCATGCTCCGTGGAGTCTGGTAACCACACGAATTCTACACCTGGGCCAAAAGACCACGCACACAGACACGTGGTGTTAAGAGGACAATTCCAGGGCCCTGGCAGCTGTCACTTGAGGCAGCTCACGCTGCGCTCCCAGAAGGCACCCTTCCCCTTGCACTCCCAACCTGCCCCAGAACCCTCCGGAACTCAGGACAGCCCCTGGGCATCAGACACAGCAGGGCAGGGGCGGGCCTTACCAGCAACCTGGCACAGAGAAGGGCTTGCCAAGTCATGTCATTGTCAGGAGGTGTTAATACTGGAAGCAGCTGGGGAACTGTGCCAGGGAGGGAAATGGACTTGCACCATCCCTGATTCTGTGCATTGAGGACCAGGCTGCGTCCTGGGGGCTGTGTCCTTGGGAACCAAGGCAAGAGGTGCATCTCTCAGGACACCTGGAGGTCAGAAGCCCCATCTTGTCAGAGGATGAGCTTCCTGCACAGGCGGCAGGACCCGGGCAAGGGACAGTGCTCAGCCCAGATCTAGGGCAGTGGGGAGGGCTGCTTTCAGGAGCTAGAGGTGAACGGAGACCCGCCTGTTGAGAAGGGGGACCCTCAGCAAGGACTGTGTTCTGTGGGGAGTCCCACAGAGCGACAACCTCTCAGATGCCAGGCATCTGAAGGGAGGCAGTGGCATCTCTCCAGGTCACACGGTCTCTGCCTGGAGGTCCTGAAAGATGGATGGTCTCAGCTCTTCCATAAGCCCCGCCCCATGGGCTCTGTGCCCTTGGGAAAGTCACCTCAATTACCTCACTAGCAAAATGAGGGATTGGGGGTGTCCTGATTTCTATCTCCACAGTATTTTTGCATAGATATAACAGTATAGTTAACCCTTGAACAGTTCAGGGGTTAAGGGTGCTGACACCTCCCCCCTATACACACACATACGATCAAAAATCCATGCATAACTTGTGACTCCCCAAATCCTGCTGTTGTTCACCTTACAAATAACACAGTCGATGAATACATATTTTGTATGCTGCATGTTTTATATACTATAGTCTTACAATAAGGTCAGCTAGAGGGAAAACTGTTATTAAGAAAATTGTAAGGAAAATTTATTTACAGTGCTGGATTACACACATGGAGACTGTAAGCTTAATATGCCTGCTTATAAGAAAATCTAAGTATACAATTCTATAGCTATGTAAACAACTTAAAAATTGTTAAAAATTTGAGGAAAAAGAAAGAAAACCTGACTATAAGTGAATATTCAAAGTTCCATCCTTATGTTGTTCCGAGGGTCAAGTGCAGTAGCCTATAAAATGTCAGCATAGACTCATAAAATGCAAGGAATTAACAATAAATCCTTGCGTGTAGCTCAGAAGACACATCTGAGAACGTGGAGAGAGGGGGTGGCAATGCCAGCTGGCAGTGCCCAGGGCAGTTCCTGAACTCACGCAGCCCTGTGCACAGCTGCCTGGCGGGCCCTGAGGCTTGGAGGCAGTCGACGCCACATCACACTGATCTCACGCGGCAGAGCAGGGACCAGGCCCACAGTCAGCCACAACCTGGAAACTGGGCTGCAGGTATAATGTGGCTGGCACCTCTTCTGAACCCCATACCTGAGGGGGTGTGGGAGGAGAGAAGTCATTTAAATCAGCTGAAACTGAAGTCATTGAAAATCGAGGAAGGAAGGAGGGCCCGAGCTAAGCCTAGAATTGACTTGAGAGTCCATGGGGCACACAGTCCCCACCGCACCCCAGAGAACCTTCAGTGAACACAGAATGGGTCTAGGAATGTATGTTATACATAGACTCGCGCGCGCGCACGCGCGCACACACACACACACACACACACACACACACACACACACACACCCCTGATGTGCTGCAGACAAGAACTCCCTGCCCACCCTGTCTTCGGAGCGAAGCCCTCTACAAGCACAGCCCAGCTCTGCTGTCTCGCTCAGGCTGGCAGGCAGGTGGCCCGGGACTCTGCTCCTAATAGGGGCAAGCAAGCCAGCTGACCCCTGTGGGCCTCCAGGGCCAGCGTCAAATCAGGCCATTCCTTCCCTCGAAGTACCTGGGTCCTTGCTCCAGAGGACAAATCACCTTCTCCCAGGTGGGCCGCGCTGGCACACCAGGAGAGGCCAGGAGAGGAGGCTGCAGCACTGGATGATGGGGGTTCTGGGGGGAAGCCCCTCCCTGTCCACATGGTCCCCACTGTGGGCACATGGGCCTGCAGCCAGCTGGGGAAGCAGAGGCCACCCCCAACAAAGGGGATGGGGACTCCTGACTGAAGTACTTCCGATTTTGCTTATCGCACCATCCTCCCTTGGGCCAGCTCTCTCCAGTGAGTGTGGTGCCAGGGGTGCATGTGCCCAGGGTCACCTCACATTGTGGCCCCATTTGCCATTCCTGCAGGGACCATTATGGCCAGGAGATGGCGTCACTTCGGTCTGGAGTAAATTCCAGGGTGTCCCAGTAGTCATGGGGTAAGCAGACCCTCAGCAGGCACCCAAGGCCTGGACAGGTGTCCTCCTGCCTTGTCTGTGGGGGGCGAAGCTGCATGGCACCTCACTGGCTCCCCATCCCTGGGGAAGTGGAGGGGCTGTCTCTCTTGAATCACTCCCACCTCCAGAGGCCACTGTATCTTAACTATCTCCTGGCCAGTTCCCCAAAGTGACCTTGGCCAGCTCCCCAGATGTTTGTGATGCTCAGCTTCCTGTTTCAAGCCATAATCCTCATCCCTGAGTAGAGGTTGAAAGCCGGCCTCCCTGCGTGAGAGCTCCCGGACCCGGGCCTGTCTGCGGCACAGCCTCTGGTGCGCCCACCGCCGGCACCCATGCAGGACTGTCTGTTACACTCCCACGGTCGCCCACCTCCTCGGGTTCTCATCATTCCTGCCTTGCTCTTTTTCAAGCAGGAAACAATAGAGGCCACGGTGCCTGCGGACAGAAAGCCCAGAAGCAGAGAAGAGTGGCCCACGGTGGGGGGCGGGTTCAGCTGCACAGACAATTCTCAAGGCCAGTCACAAAAGGCAGAACCAAACAGCAGATGGCTTCCTAATAGACTGAGGCAGCTGGTCCTACATGGTTGAGATGAATCATTCTTACAGGGCCCAACTTTTGAATGAAACCTGAGCTGAGACCACCAGAGGGAGACAGAACAACAAAGAATAAAGACAGGGTGAAGGCGAGCCTGTCTCCTGAGAGCAGTTTCTCCTCTTTCTTCGGAGCAGCTACGCAGTTACACTTGTACATCCCTGTCTGCAGAAGGTGCCTGCGCCCCTTGCACAAGGAGGCTCTGGGTCCTTCCCTGCTGGAGGCCCCTCCATGGAAAACATCCATTGGAGACCCTCAGACCTGGCTGACCCTCTGATCAGGGAAGGGGTGGGAAGTCTCCCAGGGCCGTTCCCGGAGCCCCCGCCCTTGCCACCCTAGGGCAGGTGGTTCTGAATGTGGGCAGTAGACAGAGCCTTGCAGTGAGCAGCCTGGCCCCGAGGTCTTGATAACGCTGAGCCTGTGCCTGCTCTCCGGGGTATCAGAGAGCAGCAGCTGGGTGGGCACAGGCCACGTGTGGAGAGGAGCGTGGGTGTGCATCTGGAAGCCTCGAGTGCTGCCTGACACCAGACTCGATGTAACAAGGGCATCGATCGCCCGGTGCTCGACAAGGCCACGACGTGCAGCTGCGTCCTAATGTTACAATAAGGCCAGTGCACAGGGAGTCAAAGGACTTTGTCCAAGATCCTGGTCATCAATTCAGATGTCAGCATTCCTAAGCTCCTGAGGACTCCTGAGCCAAGAGAAGCTCAGGAGGCAGCTGGACTCAAGAGTGCTCGTGACCTGTGTGTCCAGCCAGGGGCAGTGAGAACACAAACAAATCCCGGAGTGGAGGAGGGGCCAGGTGGGGGCTGCCCATCCCGGCCTGGAGCCAGAACTCCACCACCACCAGGGGCTCCCCAGAAGCCAGCTTTCGAAGTGTTCCTGTGTGGCTAGTAAAAAGAGAAAAAGCTATCTGGAAAACCGGCCCGTGGGAACGTTCATGAGAGAGGCGGTGACAGGACACCACAGCAGCGAGATCAGTCCCAGCCAGGGAGGAGGAGACATAGTGACAGGGAGTCAAGGAGGCTGGATCGAGGCTCAATACAGTACTTGGGGATCCCCAGGACAGGTCCCAGGCATAAGCCTGTACCTGGGAGAGTTGTTTCTAGAATGAGCATAATGAATAAAAAAATGTAAAAGCTGGTAAATATAGGAAAGGCACGTGCCTGAGACTAGTGGCTGCAGCACAGTTTGTAATAGGAAAAGACTGGAGCGCACCCAAATGCTGCGGCCTAGGGGACATCCACGTGCACGGGGCCTCGGAGCAGCCTGGCGCCCCACACTCACTGCCTGGGTAGAGTGGGGTTTCGGCATTGTCTCCACAATTTAATATTCATTGAAAAAGGAAAGGTGGCAAGAAGAGAGTCTAACTCATTACCGTTTACCTAAGGGAGGGAAGATATGCTTGTAATAAAAATATGTGAGATGCTAAAAATGGTTATCAAGTGTGGGAGGACGGGATTCGGGGGAGAGGGAATAGGGAAAGAAGCCAGACATCTTCGCTTATTCCCTGTTTTTTACATATGACTTTAGAGCCATGCATTTTACATAATTATAGAACAAGATTAAACGTAAAAAGTGGATTTCTAAGAATTAAAAGAAAAATTACTCTAAATGTGCATCCAGTTGTGACGTCATCACGAAGAGAATTATTCTGAATGATTTCATGGATTTATTCTTTTCTTGAGTGATTCTGAGACATTTGTTTGATGGTACGTCCTTGGTGGGCCCTACTCTGCTGTCAATGCAAATAAATCTTTATC